GAGAGAGAAGAGAGAGGAGAGAGAAGAGAGAGGAGAGAGAAGAGAGAGGAGAGAGGAGGGAGTATCCTATCTTTATGCAAGGATGCTCTCGGGTGAGTTCTCGCCGTGGTCTTTTTCGAGCACAGGTGAACTTGACGGCACCGTCGAAGCCCGGGCAGCCCACCGCACTTCGAAAGGTGGGGGGAGGGTGGGGGGTTTTGGGGCGTTCGGCGTTGAAGCAAATTCGATCAGGAAGAACATCACAGAATCTGTGTACCTGGCATATCCCTACAGATCAAACCAAGATAGAGCAGCACCAGGTTTTACTGGGTCTTTGGACCTGTAGGGTATACTCTTTTTCCTAGAAGAGTTTGCTCGGCGGTTTTGCATGGCCTCAGCGCCTCAGTGCTGGAACCAGCATGTCTGGTTTGATGGCTAGGCCACCGCATGGTTTTCGTTCGACGTGGGACGTGGTTTTCGGACACGTGGCGGCCGACCTTCAAAGGCCACATCGTCTGCGCTTCTCGGTCTTCACAGGTGCCCAAATCAGTTGCACTCATCACCCGTGGTTGCCAAGCTGAGTGCCTGACAAGCCATGGGCCATCTGCTCTACAGTAGGCAGTAGGCGGCACCATGTGGAAAGTTCCGAACAAACGAACTGAGACCGGTTCCTGACCGGTCATCAGCTGCCTCAGCCCTACGTCGCGCCGATTCCTTTACGGAGAACGACGCCTGCAGGTGGTGCAGCCGGCCGAACGCATGGGGGTCTTGGTGCAGAGCCTTCCGCAGGCTTGGGGGTCTCAGGGGGTTTGTCAAACATTTTATATAGATCATTTTAGTAGAAAAACACATGAACGATTCTGTTCTACTTAAATGTTTGACGTTGACTTCTTTCTTTTAAAGCCGTCAAAGACGGGGATGGTGAAAAATAGGTCGAAGCCGAGGTTGGCGGAAGGACTCGAGAAGCGGTGGATGAGTTGGGGAGATAGAAGCGGTCAAGGACTGAATGGATGGCTCCAAAGTCGAGAAGGCGATCTAGATTTCACAGAGATTTATTCAGAGGAGTTTGCTTTTCTAGCGAAAATGAATGTCACTGCGGTACTTGTGACCCTACTTCACAGCGGAAGTCACCCATTTTACTCTTATAAATCTTCTCCAATTCCTAATTTCTGCCAGATTCCTTGTTCCGATTGAAAGAGTCAGGGACTTGAGGAAATTCTGCTCCAGCCGAGTCTTCCCTTCCCCAAATCTCAATTCCCTAGACAGTATTGGGCCCACCCTTGTATTCGTCATGGGAGAACGGCTCCTTTGGAAGCCAGTTTGTCATTTCTAGTTTGTCATTTCTCATGGGGGTGGACCGACAAAATCACAACGAACGAGGTATTCTGAACAAGAGCTTGGCTTTAAAGATCTTCAACCTGTAAATCTTTGTGTTGTTGAAGAAAGGCATTGGGGCCTGCTGTTAAAATGATTTTGTGATTGGCAGCGTGTAGCAGGCAAACCGAGAGGCGCTGGAGAAGGAGCTTTTTGCTCTCACAGCCCTCAGAGAGCCTTGACTGAGGAACAGTCGGGCAGTGATGTTTTGAGATACACTTGCTTGTTTTGTAACTCGATTCGTTTGTTTGCAGCACCTATCCCCGGGTCTCCCACCCAATAGATTTGCCCGTGCTTAAATCCAAGTATGTGCTTGGGACCAACATCTCACACAGATGCTTCTTAATTGCTCAGTATCAGGCCAGAGCTCATGATCACTCAGCCAGTCCTTGTAAAGTGCTGAACATAGTCAGTATCACTTGAAGCAGATAGCTTAGAGATGTTTCTTTAGCTCTTTCATTCCTTTCTTCGGCAAATTTTCTTCTCGCGGAAAACCCCATGCTTTCAGACGCATTCCTTTCGTGCATCCAAGACGCATGGTTTGTTGGCCGATTTTTCTCCCCAGAGACGAATGAACCTTCGCTCTTCCCAGGCCCGAAGGCCCAAAGGCCCGAAGACCGGATCCAGAGATGCGAACGAACCAGACCGGCCCCCCCCCCCAAGGGCCTTTCCGCGGTCCATGGTCGGGGACGCAGGGACGTGGTTGGTCCTCCGTGTCGGAGCTGCTGAGTCGTCGAGTCGTCACCTTGCTGGCCATGAGCTTTTCAAGCTTTTGGCCAATGTGCCAAAGAGCCGTGAGCTGAACAAGAGCCGTGAGCTGAGACCTAGAAGGGGGCTGGGTGGCAGAAGCCAGGAAGTGACCCCTTGATCCGCGCATGTGGATCCATTTGCAGCTCATTGTTCCCCCCCTGAAGGGCACAGCAGCCAGATCAAAAGCATCGAGAACGAGGGCTTGTAGCTGAAGCACTCCCAAGCCATGGGCCAATGCCTGTGCCCGATGCGGAAGTCTTTGGAGAGGGCGAGGATACAGCAGATGAAGATGAGAGTCTTTTGGCTCGATCCAAGGCCGGGCGTGGGAAGATGTTATGGTGATTTTTGGAAGCTGTATAGATTGAATCATGACAAAAGGAGGCAGATCGTTAAGGGCACAGTTGACTCTCTAGAGACTGAGCTTTAGATTGTCAGATATATATATTGTAAAGTTGATGGACCATGCGAATGACCTTTCACGAACGGACAGAGGACACAGCAGCCAAGAGGAACATCATGAGGTCACTTCCCGTGATGCCTTGGCTCGAATCCCGTACCTAGGCCTTGAGCCCTAGCGAGCCCGTGAAAAGGTTCGTTTTGCGCTCATTCCGCGCTTTGCACTGGTAGGCGGAGCCTAAGGTGCTCTGGGTCGGCGCGCTGCCATTGACTTTTCGCTTGCGGATTGTTTTTGGTGTCCCCGCCCTGGAGCTGGACAGGTGGTGAACTTGGAGCGGTCGTATTTGTGCCCTTCATTGTTCGGTGGATAGCAGTCTGGAGTGATTTTTGGCTCACTATTGTACCGGAACTGTCATTCTCGAGTACTTTGTGAAGGCTGGACACTTCGGAAGTTGCTGAGGTAACTTGGTGCAAGTTTTGTTGGCTCGCAGTATCACCTTTTTGATTTTGCACGATTTCGAATTTTACAATGCAGTCAAATGGGCAATCATTGTATGTTGACCCGAAGTCCAACGTTGTGCATTATGACGGTAATCCAAAGTTGGCTGAAGAATATGAAGAGCGGGTATGGCTGGGTTTTCAAACTGTGATGAAGGAAGAGAAAGTGTCCTATGCAGCAAAACTCAAGAACGCATTGCATGGCCGTGCATGGACACTCTGTCACAGGAAACCCGAGATCGCAGCTCAGAAACTCCTTCAGCTGAGTGAATCGGACCCGAGCACAACAACAGGACCACGAGCAGCAGTACAACTGGTGGTGAAGGTTGTGAGGAATGCTTGTGAGAAGGTTGCTCCATTGCTCAAGACCCAGACCTTCGAAGACTACTTCTTTGAGAAAGGTCGAAGAAAGGCATCCGAAAGCATCCAAGACTACATCAGTCGCCGAGAGAATGAATATGAGAAGCTGACAAGTCTGACACAAGGTCATACAAAGTTGTCGACTGATTTGCAAGCCTTTTTCCTACTGAGGAATGCTGGTGTGAGCTCATCGCAACATCGTGCCATCCTGGGTCAGGCAGGGAATGAGTATGATTGGGACAAGATTGTTGAAGCTATGCTCATTCAATTGGACGGTGGTGATGACATCAGCAGCAACAAGGGTTGGAAAGGTGGTTTCAAGTCAAGACAACAAAGCAGCTACAATACAGGTGGCAAAAGAAGCGCATGGGCCTACCCGATTGAAGAGGAGTGGTCAAGCTATGATGGTGAGACTGAGGATGTGTACGCAGTTGATGACTGGTACTATGATGATGAAACTGCTGAAGAAGGAGTCCCCATCTATGAAGTCGAAGAAGACATCCATTTCGACATCGAGGAGATGGAACATGCCGTGGAGGTGATGGCAGTTGATGACCTATCTCTGGAGGAATTGGACATCTTCGCTATGACTGCTCAGAAAATGGGTAAAGGTGCTTCAGAATATGCTCGCAAGAGACAAGCGGTCAGAGATGGAAAGGTCAACAGAGGATATCAACCTAACACAGTTGGCCACAATCGAACAGCAATTGCATTGGATGGCAAGGTGACTTTCAATGCAGGACAGCTACAAGACAAGTTGCAGCAGATCAAGTCACGGACGCAGTGCTATGACTGTGGACAAAAGGGACACTGGCGTGGTGACAAGTCATGTCCAAAGAGCACGAGTTCATCATCAAGTTCAAAAGGCGGCAAGAAAGGCTCTGGAAAGAAAGGAGGCCGCAAGGGTGGTTTTCTCCAGAGGGCTGGAATGGCAGCAGCGATGCTCGCATCGGCATCAGGACAGCTGCTCGCATCATGCCAAGAAGCCCTGAACTGTTTGAACTTGTCGTGCATGGAGGAGTTCCGTGAGTTTGACATCGAGGATCAGATCCACAGCTGGCCCAAGTTCGAGACCTTTGAGGAGCTGCAGTCATTGTCGCAGGTGGACGCCTTCATGACAAATGAATCCGAGTTGGCAACAGTCCCACACAGTCTGACATTCATGGCAGGAGCCGGACGCGAGACAGTGCCGTCTGGAATGTGTGTTGTTGACACAGCTGCATTGATTGGTTGCGGTGGTGACCGAACATTGGACCGTTTCATTGGAAAGTTTGGGAGCGAGACAACTCTCCAGACATCCAACAAGGTTCTAAAAGGAGTCAATGCTGACGCACCAGTTCTTGTGCAGCATCAGCAGTGGATCGACATTCACATTGCCGGTCAGAAAGGTCGTGTGGCATTACATCGAATTCCCAATTCTGATGTTCCATTGTTGTTGGGCCTTCCACAACTCAAAGAGCTTGGTGCAGTCATCGATCTCACTGCAATGCCAAAGCCGACCATCCAGTTCACATCCATTGGTTCAGAGAAGGTGACCTTGGAGTATGGCAAAGGTGGTCATTTGCTCTTGGACATTGGACACAACAGTGAGAAGAGAAAAGACACTAGGCTGGCAGGTGAGACGGTTGAGGTGTTTCATCAGTTGAAGGCGAAGGACTACAACGTGGAGGCGATCAGGATCATGAAGGGGAAACTTCGAAAGAAAGTCCAACAGATGGCTGAACAGGCCAAAGAACATGGAAGAGCTCTATGGAAAGAACTTCGAAAAGGAGCCATGAAGCGTGGGAGAAAGGTGCTTGTGAAGGAGCTGTACAGTGGAAAAGACGGTGGTGTGGTGACAATGCTGGCAAAAGACAATGATTTCGCATATGGTCGTCCCCGGGATTTGTTGCTGGGAGACAACTTCTTGAAGGAAGAAGACAGGCGCTTAGTGCTTGAGGAGATCAAAGTTGAGAAGCCAAAGCTGATCACCATGGGATTCAACTGTGATCCCTGGACACCGCTTAGCAATTTCCTGGACGAAGACACTCGTACAGCGCAACAAGAGACAGCACTAGCACATCTGACATTTGTGAAGGAGATTTGTGAATTGCAAGTGTTGGAAGGACGACATTATTTGTTGGAAAACCCATTGTCATCACAAGCTTGGAGGCATTTGATGGAGATGTTGGAGCACATTCCACATTACACCGTGCGGATGGATCAATGTATGACTGATCTGAAGGACGTGAATGGTGATTTTGTGCTGAAACCAACCCGTTTCGTGACATCCTCTCCGGTTTTGGCTTCATTGTTGAGTGTTCGCTGTTCAGGTGATCATGACCATGCCGAAGTTCAAGGAAGAGGACAAAAGGACGGGCATAACATCTCATCATTGCTGGGACAATGGACACCTCAGTTGGGGGTGATCATCCTTGAAGGAATCCAACGACAAACACTTCTTGAAGAGCAATGTGGTGAGGTGAAGTACCATCTTGAGGAAGCTGATGTTTTTCACAGTGCTTTGAAGAGAAGCTCAGAGGTGGTGTTCCGTCAACGTGAAGAGGAAGAGCTTCAGACATGGGAGGAGGTACCCGTTCTTTTGAGAAGCGCAATCACCAAGGTGCATCGACAATACTCCCATTCATTGTACAAAGAGAACTTCAGCAGACACCTGAAATTGTCAGGAGCCTCAGATCGGGCAATCAAGGCGGCAATGCTGTTCACATGTCCCACATGTGAAAAGGAGAGACGCAGTCCAGCAAAGCCAATCGCTGCCGTGCCCAAGTACAATCACTTCAACCAGTGTGTTGCCATGGACATTGCACACATTCCCGATCAAGATGATGTGATGCATTCCTTCTTGATGATGGTTGACATGGCAACAAACTATACCATGGCATCTTACCTATGTTCAGGTGACAATCCTGGAAGACCAAAGAAGCCACAATCATCACAGTGCCGAAAGTCACTGATGGATTGGATGGAAGTGTTTGGTGGTCCGGAGAAAGTGCAGGTGGACCAAGATGGATCACTCAGAGGCGATTTCCGTGATTTGTTGGATCGCTATGGGATTGAAGAGATCCTTGTGGCACGAGATGCACATTGGTCACATGGCATTGTGGAGCGAAAGATTCTGACAGTGAAAGAAATGATGTTGAAATTGGTGCATGACAGTGAAATCCGTGGTGCTACATTGTCAAGAGTGGCGGTCATTCAGTGCACCCAGACGATCAACAGACTTTCGAACTTCAGAGGATTTTCGCCTGCTCAATGTGTCCTTGGTTTTCAACCCAACCTTCCGGAGATCATGAGTGATGGAAGAAGAATTCCAATAGCTGACAACGAAGATCATTTCGCAATGGCACAACGGATGAAGCTACTACAGGATTGTGAACATGCTTTTGTGAAAGCCAATCATTCAGCATCGCTTCGTCGTGCATTGCTGTCACAGACTCGTCAACAGCCAGGTCCGTTTGACATGCACAGCCTCGTGATGTACAAGAGGAAAGGCTTGAAACACAAGGTGTACAAGCAGTGGCATGGACCAGCTCGAGTCATTGGCAAAGATCTTCAAGGCTACTGGCTCATTCATCGCGGCTCGCCTATTTTGGCGCATCCTCACAATTTGAGAAGAGCAATTGCAGAGGAACAAGAATTGATGCTGGAAGATGATGACACACTACCAGCACGACCAGGTGGACAACAAGGATTTTTGGACCTCTCAAAACCTCAAGATCCCGTTGATCTTGACGATGATGGAGAAGATGTTAAGGCTGGAGACTATTCACCTACAGAACCTCCAGTTGATGATGGTGCCGCAGCAGAGAGACCTACTCAAGGAGAAGAAGAGGAGATGGCACGGACATATCAAGACGAATGCACATCCAGTGGGGATGAATCCCGTGAAGTCCGTGAGATGAAAAGAATTGCAAGACATGAGAAGAGGAAGAAAGAAGGTGAAGCAGAGGAGACAACAGAAGCAGCCGATGATGATCAAGATGAAACTAAGAGGCTGAGGAGACCAAAGAAACCCGAGGAAAGCTCAAGCAAGAAGAGAAGGAAACGAAAGAAGAAGATTGAAGAGGCCAAAGAGCAACAGAATGTTGAGGAACAATCTGTTCCTCAAGGGAGTCAAGGTGAACCTTCGAGTATGCCATCGAGTTCCATTTTGGATGAAGAACACAAGAGGAAACGTGATCTTCTACTTGATGATGTACCAGAATCCATTCGTGGAGCGATGAGACGAAGGCTTGAAGACAAGGAGGTGGACTCATCTGGTGGAGTTGAGATGTCCGCAGAAGAGAGAGAAACAATGTGTGTGGCATTCCTAGCAGAGAGAATGGACACCTACACCAAAAGGAACAAGCACACGGAGCTCAACCCTCAGAAGATGAAGTCACAGCTTCCACAGTTCACAGACAAAGAGATCGAGGAAGCTATGCAAAAGGCAGTGGAGAAGGAAATTGGCACATGGCAACGCTTTGATGCCATCGACATCGTGCCTCCGGATGAAAGCAAACAAATCCGGAAGGAAAGTCCGGAGAAAGTGATTTCCTCCAGAGGCGTTTGGACAAAGAAGGATGATGAAAAGAGAAATGAAAATGAAAAGGAAGAGCTTGTACTGAAGTGCAGGGTCGTTGGCAGAGGCTTTCAAGAAGAGTACGACGAGAACCTCCGTCGTGATTCGCCAACATGCTCTACATTGTTGGTTCAGGTCATTTGCAGCCTGGCATCATCAAGGCTGATGAAGTTGACAGCAGCTGATGTCAGAGGAGCCTTTTTGCAAGGGCTGAAGATTGACCGTGAGCTGTACTTTGAGCCTCCAAAGAATCTTGGAAAGGCTCAGATTCCAGGAGTGCAGCCAGGTGCCTTGCTCAAACTCAAGAAATCCATCTACGGCGTGAACGATGCCGCAAGGCAGTGGTATCATTCCATCAAGGGAATCCTCCTTCGTTTGGGCTGGGAAAGCTTGACATTCGAGCTTGCCGGTTTTGTGCTTCGTGACCCAGCTTCAAAAGAAGTGATAGCCATTTTGGCTTTACATGTTGACGATGTCCTCATTGCGTGGGATGAGAAGAAATATCCCGAAGAATGCAAGAAGATGCAAGAACAAATGCAGAAAGAAGTTGAATGGGGGCAATGGAGGACTGATGGAACTTTGAAGTTCTGCGGCAGATCCTATCACCAGGATGAGGACGGGACAATCCATGTTCATGCTCAGGAATATGTGGAGAACATGAGCACCTACAAGGTCAGTCGAGAACGTGGCAAAGACAACAATGCAAAGCTGACACCAAGCGAAACCAAGGCATTTCGAGGACTACTTGGTCAATTGCAGTGGTATGCCCGGATTATGGGGTACTCCATTGGTTTCCAGGTCAGCAGACTTGCCAGCGAGATCAAGGATTTGAGGATGTCAAGCCTCAAGGAAGCATCAAAGTTGGTGAGAGAAGTCAAACAATACCATCAAGAAGAGGAGCTCATTTTTAGACCAGGCATGGCTTGGCAACCGGAAGACATTGCAGTGGTAGCAGTCCATGATGCATCCTTCAACAATCTTCCAGGTCACAAGAGCCAAAAGGGATATTGGCTGGGCATTTCAACCCCCGAGTTGATCAAGGACCGGACGAAGGTACACCACATTCATTTTGTTCATTGGACATCATCCAAAATACAAAGAGTGGTGCGGTCGACCTTGAGTGCTGAAGCCTATTCCTGCTCAGAAGCTCTGGATGCCCTCAGTTGGTTGAGAGCGACCATTTTGGAAGTGTTGCATGGAGATTTGGACATGCGTCACTACAAGGAACATTTGCATCGCGTGCCAGGTGTCACGGTGACAGATTGCAGATCACTATATGATTGCATGAAGTCAGAACGTGTGTTGCTTTCTGATCGCAGACTGTCCTTGGAGGCAGCAATCATCCGACAAAGCTTGCAAGAAGGTGTTGAATGCAAGTGGGTGCCATCAGAGCAACAACTGGCAGATGCATTGACAAAGGCGCTTCATCGAAAAGGCTTGGCTTATTTGAACGATGTGCTCTACTCCAACAAGTGGACACTTGGCCCAGATCCAAGATTGCCAGAGACATCGAGGAGCCGGAAGCTGGAAAGCCCAGAAGAAAAGCCAAAGCCAGAAAAGGTGAACAGCCATGAAGAAGCCGAGATGATCAACCAGAAGCCGATTGAACTTGAGGAGAATGAAAGTTCAGCAAGCCCCAACAGGACAACCCATACATCCACAAGTCCCGGAGTAAGTGCGAAGTCCGTACTGATGATTTCATTTGCGCAGCAGTTCCTCCCTACAAATGCCGAGCCGGACGTGAGGACGATCCTGCCCCAGTTTCCATGGGAGTTGATGTTTGCGTGCGTGATCATTGTGCTGACAGGTCTCTTTTGGTACAACACGACTTACTACACGGAGTGGTTTTTTGTGGTATGAGGACCTTGCATTGTACAAACAAGGTGCACTTGTTTCGTTCACAACAATGCTGGTGGTCGTGATCGGGTTGAAGACAACAGTTTCACAGAATTCAGAATGTTTGATGTTGATGTGGGGTGGAATGGTGATCATGATAGTGTTGCTGGTGAAAAGACTTGATGAAAAGACATCAACGATCTTTACCCTTTTGGGCCAAGAACGCAAGAAGACTCAGGAGCTGATTCATGCAGGTATGTCACAAATGTTCAATGAGAACAACATCATGCTGACAGGGATGGATCGCATGAAGCACGCCATCAACGAGGATTTCAAGAAAGTCTCAGCGTTCATTGGTGACAGCAACCGATTCACCTACCAGAAAATGGACGACATTGCAGAAGAAAGCAATTTCAGGATCACAAAAGTCATTGACAGATTGATCAGGATTGAATACAAACAAGAACGACAAGAAGTGAGAGCTCTGGATTTAGAGAAACGTCTGAAGCAAAAGAAAAGGCATCGGACCCCATCCATGAGTTCAGATGAGAAGCGAGCAATCCTGTTGAAGAGGCAGGACAGAAGAGAAGCCCCAGGGACTCCAACGGAGTCAGAAGTCATGAGCATGCTGGAAGACCCCGCAGTGCCGGAGTTGTTTGTGGAGCCAGGAGCAGATGGTCGGCTGGCCCCGCATGATGAAGATGAGAGTTTTGAGGAAGATCATGGAAATGATCATGATGCAATGACAAGGAAGAACATCGGCATGACTCAGGAAAACTGGGAAAAGATGACAAGAAAGGAAAAGAAGTACTTTTTGCTGACAGTGATGTGGGAAGCGGCGTGCGTGTACAAAGATGAAGAAAACATCAATAGCATCAGCCAACAAATGCAGATGCTTGCTGATGAGATCAATGCTGAAGCCCCGATCTCAAGATCAGGAGCAAGCAGCTCACATCACGATGTCCAAATGTCAGAGCGTGAAAGGTCACAGAATGTTGAGGAATGTAAAGTTGATGGACCATGCGAATGACCTTTCACGAACGGACAGAGGACACAGCAGCCAAGAGGAACATCATGAGGTCACTTCCCGTGATGCCTTGGCTCGAATCCCGTACCTAGGCCTTGAGCCCTAGCGAGCCCGTGAAAAGGTTCGTTTTGCGCTCATTCCGCGCTTTGCAATATATATATATATACACATCTTTTGTGTGAACTTGATCGCTGTAGGGATTTCTACCTGAGCTACTTGTAGTTAGTAATCATTATATAATGACTTTTTCACTCCATGACCTGACAAGCTGACTGTGAACATGTTGGAAGGTCAACGCAAGGTGATGCAAGGGCAGCAGTATCACTCCCCTTCAAAGACCCAGACTGTTGCACAGAGGTTCCCAGCGGAATGTTCACCTGGTTTTCACCTGGGAGACTGACCATCCTACAGATCTGAGTCACCTCCGCTTCCGGTCCGACAGGACGGACCGGCACCTTTAGCGGTCCAGGAGGCTCAGGAGGCTCTCAAAGAGGGCGATCAGACCGAGACGCTTGGAACAAGCGATGCGGGTGTGAGGGCCGTTGGTTCATTTCGAGGTAAGGAGCGGTGAGACGAAAGGAGAGGACAGGGTTTTTGAGGAGAGATTCAAGATGAGACATGAGATGTGCTATCACGGCAATTGACTGAAATCTACATCTTTGACTATGGTGTCAGATCTCATTCTTCAGCACCAAGAATGAACGTGAGTCTGTGCGACTCCAGGACCATCTTGGTTCACACGCAGACAATTCAGGACGGCCCAAGGTTTTTCCGTCCTGGCGTGTTGGACCAAATCTAGGTAATGGTGAGGTAGGGGGTAGGGAGGGGGTAGGTAGGGGTATGATTCATGAACCGTCTTGGACTTGATTTGAGCGGTCCGTCCCATGAGGTGGCTCTAGAGGAATGGGCGGTGGTCTCAGTGGAGAAGAATGGTTTCGATGAATGGGGACCATGGGGAGTTGAAACTCCCGGTGCATCGAATCGAATCTAAATGTACATCAATGAGGGTGCATCGACGGGTGACAGAGATGTCGCGTGGATCCACATGGGGCGTGAAGGATTGGAACTTCAGTTTTCAACAGATCCACACGGTTTTTCAAGACTCTTAAAGAGGGGATTCACTGCTCTGTTTGTTTTGGGGTCACTATGCTTTTAATACACCATGCTCACTTGGACACATCCATCCTCACCAGCAACTCACCAACCTTGGGATCTCTCCCCAAAAGGTGCCTTGGTCTTGGGTGAAGGCAGAACTTTCCTGGATCCATTGGTGTCCAAGTCTTTGATGCCCCTTCAAAGTGTGGTGGGATTCACCCCACCCAGAAGTGATGTGAAGATTAGGGTTTCGTACCGGACATGTGCAGATCCAATCCAAGTGTTTGTTTTGGTTCCGGCGTTCCGTTCGTGAAACCGATCCGTTCGTTCATCCTGGGATCCGTTGACCTTTGGGATTGGGCAGCCGAGTACTGCTGGGTCTGGTGGCTGGTCCAAGGGTCAGGCATGGTCTTTGACGTAGATCCCAAGCGGTGAACCTTGGTTGCTTGCTCGTTTTTGGTACTCTAGATGTAAATCTCCGACGGGTCTGCACAACAGTGCAAGAATTCCTTCAAAAGATGCACCAAAAGGATGGACTTGCGACTCTGAGAAAGATCCGCAGTGGGTTCAGGAGTTTAAGACATACGCTTCTTCAAACTAGCGTGGAAACTGCCTGAGGTGGTTGGGAACAGGATTCTCCTCCACTGACGGCACTTGCGATCTTGCACCACAACTGGACCCCTTCAGATTCTCCCTGGAAATTTAGTATCTAGTATCTAGTATCATGATGATGTTATTTTTTGTGTGTTTGATGGACAATAACGACAATATCCTGTCAGTTTTTTGATGCTTGTTTGCCGGAGGGTCTGAGGGTATCAACGTCACGTCCAAGGACCTGCTTTCGGTGCTGCTTCTGCAGCGTGGTGATCGTCTTCTTCTGCGCTCTGTCCTTCTATGCTGGGACCATCTGGGAAGCTGCACAGCTCCAAAGCTCCAGTCTGGAGGAAGTCGTGAACACGAAGGTTCAGGACGGCTGAGCCGAGGGGCTGAGCGGACTGGGCGGAGTAATACGTGGGGCATTCGGAGTCACCAACATGACGACCTGGCCGGGGGGCAGAGCTCTAAAGGGTGGGAAAGGGGCTTGGTATCCTTTGGTTCCAGGCCAGGCAGGTAGAGCTAGGTAGGTGGGACTTCCTTGCTATTCTCGGGCTGTCTGAAGAAGATGTTTCAACAATTTCCATGTTGGGCGTAAAGGCGATCAGGTCTGGAAGTGGAGTTCACCACCTGTTTGTAGAGGAACATGATCCATGCCATCCACTTCCATGATTATTTCAGGAGTGTATCCCAAATCATCCACAGTCCCTGAACCAGCGCGCACGAATTCTCGAAGAAGAGGTGAGAACAGGGTCCCACAAGCTTTCAGAACGGGTCCCAGAAGCTTTCAGAGATGCGTTTCTTCAAAAGCAACTTCATCAACACATGCCATCAAACAGCAATGATTTAGATCTCTTCGTTCAACTACTCTCCAAGCACTTGTTCGCCAGGACGCCTTTACGGAGGTCTATTCCGAGCCAAAGCACTGGACCGTGGCCCCGAGCAGCGCGGCTCCCACGGCTCCGCCGAGCATCGCGGCTCCGAGCACGGCTCCGCCAAGAGGGACGACGACGACGACGACGACCACGAGCCCAGCGAGCGAGATGAAGACAGGCGGAGCGACCATGGCGGCCACAGAAGCCACTTCAGCCGCTGGGTACCGCGGGGTATGCAGTTTTTAGTTACTTTTTTTCCAACAGGTTTCGCAAGGCAGGCCATGCAGGGAAGCTAGGGGTGCTTTGGCTCCAAGTTGAAGGTCTGGCACTTGACAAGCTTAGAGATCGGTAACTCCTTGTTTCACTTCCTCCGAATTCGCTTCCTTCTCTGCATCACAAACGCTCCAGCTCAGGTCGAAACGGAAGAGAAAGCCTTGGCATGTTTACAGCTGAGCTTCCCTCAACTCACCCACATTACATACCCCACTGATGCCGAGTCGCACTTCTTGGAGGACGCTCCGTCGCGCTTGTTCAGGATGTTTGGGTGGGCTTTCAACTTGCACTCATCTACCAGACACTTATGGACCCTCCAACTCCAACCCTCAAAAAACATTGACCAGGAGTCACAAAGGGATGGCTTATAGTCCCTATAAGTGAGTGGATCATGGGCACCCAACTCCTTCCTCCAAGTTCGGCACCCCGACTTCCACGTGACTCCTGGGAGGTCTCAGTGGATTCTTCCTCTTTGGCCGTCGAACTGGTCCGCCCCAAAGGGGTCGACCGAGGCACCCGCGCAGGCACCCGCGCAGGCACCCGCGCAGGCACCCGAAGGCGTCCCCCGCAGTCCGAGGAAAAACCTGGGTGAAACGAACCTGGTGAACCATCGGTTTCACCCAAGGGGTGGTCCTTCTTTCAATATGGTGTGAGTTTTTCCACATTCCACCGACACGGACACCAAGGCATCTCACCAAGGCACCACGTTCCTGCCGACACGGTAGGGCTCAACACGAACCGCCGCGGGTCTCGCCGCGTGTGTCTCGCTCGGTGCGTGCGTGTGTCTCGCGAGGTGAACGAGACGTTGAGCCACTTCTTCGCGCCCAACTTTCAGCCGCACGTCTGGGCCGGGTACAGCGGCCCATGGGTCGAAAATCATTGGATCTGGAACTTCAGCCAGATGCCTGGAGTGAACAGATTTGGGCCGGATTTGATTTTGGATGCAGTTGGCAGAGGGGGGGGACTGCTGGTGTGTTTGAGGCTTTCAGCCCAAAAGCAGCTGGCATTTTTGGGGGTTGAACAAGGCTGCCGGGCCCGTTTTTGGTCCAACTTGGTCCATCCCAATCCTCGGCTGATTCGTTGGGGGAGCAGAATGTGACCCCAATTCTGATCGCTTCTGGAGCCCAAATCGACCACCCTTGGTCTTCACTCCGCACTCGTTTCGGACCGTTGCTCGGCCGAGCTCCCGACGCCGCGAGCTTGGCGGGAGCTCAGGAGATGGCGCAGTCGCCCCGAAGGGACGAAGTTGAGGGACATCTTTGGGCCCTTCATCCCGATCTTCGCGCCCTTCGTGGATCTGGTGGTGAGGCAAAAAGGCTACCCCATGGGCATGATGGAGTGCACTGGGACGCGTCGTGTTTTTTATTTTGTTTTGGGGGGGGGTCGGTTTTTGTTGCATCGTTGCACTTGTGGAGCGACATTGTTTTGGGGGGAACCGGGGGGGGGAGAAGTAGAAAAATGTACTGGTGGATGGTAAATGCCTATTGAAGTGTGGAGGGATGAAAAAGGAAAGATATAAACACATGCTTTTGCCGCACGAATATACCAGCACCTTCCAAGGGGTCTCCAATAGACTATCCGACTATCCTGTTACTACTTGTGGATCTCCATTGAACGCCCCATTGAAGCTCCAGTTTTTTATTGAATTCTTTGGCTCTTGAAAAGACCTTGGAGCATCCTGGAACTGACGAGATGTTGTTTCTTTCAGCAGTCCATCTTGTGGGTCTCATGGCCAGCCACAGATCCTAATGGTGCGAAAGCCGGAAGCTGCAAAATTCGGTCTTTGCAAGTTGGCAAGCCTGCAACACCTTAGGAGTCTCCGATGGAGTCATACCAGAAATTATTGAGGGACACCCAGCTTGGGAGCTGTTGCCAACATATATAAGCGCACAACTGTTTTTGCTAGTCAAGCTACAACTATCGTTGTTCTAGGTGTAAATCCAGTTGTACGCTTGTATCAACTTGCAAGAGATGTGCTTTTCTTTTTTTTGGAAACAACCGATCCTTCTAAAGGCAAAGATGTTTGTCTCCGACGATTTTTATACTTTCTCATTTTGTGTTTGCTCTGTCCGACGAATTTGGAGATGACCCCCCCCTTCGCTGAGAACCAAACATCTTCAAGGTTGCTTGGGGTTCCCACAAAGAGACACCACAAAGAGAGCCCTGAACACCTGGGGAAATTGGAGAAGTGCTGATGCTCTGATGCCCTGATGCCTTAAGAAGCGCTTCTGGCAGTGGCTTCTTTAAGGGGGCGCACACATTGTTTCACACACCTCTTCGCCTGAAGGTTCTCTCACAACATCGAAGCGCCGGTTCTCCCCACCACTTCGGGTTCTCCCCACCGAGGATCCTCAACAAGACCATGCGAAAAGACGTCTTGTGCCCGTGTCTGCAGGAAGACGACGGGATCGGCGCCGGGGGGCGTTCCGCCGGTGGAGCGACCGGAGCGACCGGCGGAACGCGCTGAGCTGCAAGGTACATCACGGTCTCTCAGCATGACCTGGGGCTCTTCAAATCAGCGAGGCCTGGGGTTCCAAGCGGAGACGGTCGACGTAGAGTTCTGATGTTCATGTTCAAGAGAGTATCTTGGGTCTTTGGGCTCCCAGGAGTTGCCGAAAACTGAGGAACAACAGGATGACTCAAGCACAGATGCCGAACTTGCTGGTTCTGAGCGCCGGTGGCAACGGACATGTGCCCATCCCACTCCTGAAAAAGCCGGAGAAGCGACTGATGGGCCTCCCTCTACGCTCGAGGCGCTACTTCACGTGGCACGGCGCCGATTGGGGGAAAGGGTGGTCAGTGACCATCAAGAGATAGCAGGAACGAAAGTAGAATCTTATGACTGACTAGCTTGTGGGAGTATTATTGGAGAGTTGCCACTTTCAACCTACAGACAAGGAGAATCAATGGAATCCCACATCGGATGACACCCACAGACACTTGTTTGTTTTTTTTGGACGACGGACCACTCGAGGCCATCCACACAACTCGAGGGTCACGTAGCAAAGAGAACAAGGCAAAACGAGGGAACACCTCAAAGGTTCATTTTTCCTCCAGCTGTTGCAATGAAAGAAGGTATGTCAGGTATGCATTCCCCCAGGAAACCAATCTTTTGAGATCTTTTGACTGTTTTCCTTGATATTTACAGTGTTTTGAGTATTTCTTTTTTCGTACCTATATAATATATAATATACCTATAGGTAAGTGTACAATTGGTAATACATTAGTCTTATTATTACTCTTATAACATACCTAAGCCTATAACATACCTATATATGTAAGTTAAACAAAATTGTAGTATATTAGTATTATTATTACTATTACATATGTATATAACCTTGGGATGAATCCACCGACTCTTCTGGCCGTCCTGGTTCGCTTCCACATCGCTTGAAGCCGCCCTGTCGTCGTGTCTACGCCTCAGTCGTAGAGGTCCTTCGTGGGGAGTGGCTTCAACAACAAGGCGGTGCGCGAGACCATGAAAAAAGTCACGGAGCAGTGGGCGCAGCAAACTGGCAAGGAGAGGGAAGACGCCCCCGGCGGGGTGGAGGAAAGAGAGTGATCGTGCCTCGTGCTGGGGCGTCCTGGTGTTTGGCGCGAGGAAGATGGGAAGATGTTTGGTTGGTGACTCCCGACCTGTTTCATGAACTCCCAGGATGGACCGATGTTGTAGTGAATGACACAAAGCTTCAAAGTATTGTAGATTGGGAGATGAAGGTTTTTGGTCCTTTTGCATTGTCTTTGTCATCCCTGGAAGCACTGTACTGCAAGAGTTTTGAAGTGGACTTGTGACCCCATCGGGGTTCATTGCTCTTTCCGATGAGAGCCAGAGGTGCAGAGCGTGTTTTGAGTGTGTTTTCTGGGCCTCGACAAACCGATCCGATCATGAATGACTCATGTTGAAGGCCTTGCCACCGACGCTTCATGCGGATCTACTAGGAATGTTGGCCCTACTAGGAACAAGAAGCTACGAACGGGGCAGGCCGTACGACGAACGGAGCAAGGACGCTAGCCTTTTCCGACGCAGACCCCTGCGGGTCCAAGAAGTGTCGAAGACTCTGAAGGTCCATGAGAGAGAGGACCATCGCGGCGATGAATGAACACCTACAAGTGCTGAACGACTCGCGTGGAGTTCCTCCAACTGAACATGTTTTCTTTGTTTTTTTCTGCCCGGATGGAGACTGTCTCTTGAGGAGGTATTCATCTCCTTGAAGACGATGAACGAGTGGCAGGACATCCTGACGTTGCTGGGACATGAGGAGGTTTCAAGACCTTCCAAAGATGCCCAAAGACTACTGGAAGTCACACAGTTTTGGAAGTGAGAGAGAAAACTCCTCGAGGTCCCCATTCAGGGGTTGGCGGGAGGTCTTGGGCGGGCTTTTCGTTCACTGCTTAGGGCTTGACACCCTAGGGCTTATTTCCTTGTCCAAGACGTTTTGATGCGCTCTTCCGACGAAAAGCAGTGGCCATTTTATTTGGGGTCGCAAAGGGGTTAGGAGTCATTAGTGATGCTTCTCTCACTTCCCATTTCATGAGAGGCCATGGGGGACTTCTAACTGATTCTTGATCTTTGCCTCGGATCTATTTCACCTCCTGAATTCTCTCCGCCACTGCAGAGTGGTACCCATGCGATGCATGAAGGACCAGTGGTCGACGAAGGACCGGTACAGTCCGGGTCGACTCGGAAGTGGAAACACCGTTCAGGGGCCTATCGTCCACTTCCAGGGGCCTATTGTCCACTTCCACAGTGTATCTATACCCCAGGCTTCTAACCACCACTGATTCAAGAGTCTTTACCCAACAACCTTTTGTTTTCCCATCGAACATTCTTCGGACTTTTCGATGGATCTTAGACGATTTAAGGACTTCTTCGACCCTTCTTTTCATGCTCCCTTCGGACGCCGGTCTGCCGGCCTAGTGACTACGTACACCGCACGTTGGCCCCGACGGTGTAACCACGGTCTCTCACCGAGGAATACCACGGTGGCCCTGAGCCCCAGGGGCTTCGGGCGCTCCTCCTTTCGTTCAGGGGAGCTCTTTCAGATGGGTCGGTTGCCTGGCCATGTCTGCTATGTCGCCGGGCTTGCCCGAACAACGGCATCGGTGAAGCGCAGCTCCGTTGTTGGTGAAGAGTCGACATTGATTTAGATTATATAGGCGTTTGTTCCTCAGGTGTTCACTTAACTTGACGTTGGGTTCTGGTGCGTCCTTCTCTTGGTGACCTGGTGACGAAATTTCTTCTTCGCCCGTCACGTGCGGAGATCAACGTGTTGGAACCGGGATGAGTTCCGAAGACGTCGTCGTGCACGACGACGTGCACGAGGTTCTACAGGGAGAGTTGTCCTCCGACGGTCCGACGTTCTCTTTCCTGTTTGGGGCTTGACCTGGTGGACGAACGTCGAGTGGTGCAGACATCCGGGACGAGTGGTTTCCGAGTGCAGCGCATCCCCCGAGCAATGACCAATGGACTGCAGACAACCAAGCATGACATTGATAACACACAACGACAGCACCAAACATAGGGGTCGAAACGCGATGAACAAGAGCAAGAAGATGCAAGAAGCAATGAGACAGCAGATTATATAACATTATATAACGACAACACCAAACGCAACCACTTCCACACTTCAAGCTCTTTTGCGCCAGTCGCTGCTGAAACACCGTCCCTCCCGAGTGAGTTCTCGCCTCGTGTACCAGGGCGGGTGGAGAATAGCGATCCTTCCATCCGAGGCCGAAAGGCCATCGGTCGCGGAAAGCGCAGGGCCGAAGGACGAACGGCGTTTCTTCCGGTGCCGTTCGGGTGACGTCGCCCAGGGTGCCAATCTATATTTGGGATGATGAACCTTGGTTGTACTACCGAGAGCTCTGGGAGAAGGAGGTGATTGGCTTTGCCACCAACATCAAGAGCTTGGGCAGTACCCTGGATCGTGTGGTTTCGGACATGTCCAAGTTGGAGCTCATTGAGGCGAATATACTGAGGATGCGTGAAAGCCACTTTACTTACGAGCCTTGGACCAAAGCTGAAGACACCTGTTGAGGTCCGACAGGTCATTTCCGAGTCATAGGTCCATGGAAGAACTGAACCGAGGGCTGGAAAAACGGGCTGTGACGGACCCTCGGACTGAAACCATGGACTCAGATAATTCGATCGTTGTGAGCTAAAAACCCCGTGAGATGGATGGTGCTCGGTCAGACCAACTTTGAGCTCAAAAACCGCTCCCCAGCAATCGTCACGCCAGGGGTCAGCCAGGTCGTGGCTGGGGCCTTTCTTCAGGTCTTGGGGTATTCTTGGGCATCGGTTTTATCGGTTCTTTTTTGCTGGGAAAGTCTGAGTCCGTAATCTGAGTGCAAGGCTGCGCCTCTCCGGAGCCTTGTAATGAGGGTATTTGGGGTGTACTCTGAGTTGATGTAGGACTTGACATAGTCTGTGGGCTTCCAAGGTTTGTTGACGGCGCCTTTCTTTTTTTTCCAACTACAAGCACCCGGGAGCGAAAAAAAGAACACCGTTTTCTTCTGACCGACCCATCTGAGGAGGCATGGGTTCTGGGGTGATTTCTACTTTCCCTATGAGTTTGGATTCGGCGCCTCCGGGGAGTTCGATGTCTTTTTTTAACTTCTGGCTTCATTTCCCTCATATCCAAGGAGGGCATCATGGATCAAATCTCCAAGTTTATGACGGGCCGCAATGGTGGCAGCGACCTCCGCTGCCAGAAGCTCCCGCGAAGGCGAAGGCGGCTCCGCCGGCGCCGGCTCGGGCGGAGGCGACGAGGAGTTGTGCTCCAAAGAAGAGCCTTCAAAGAGGTGGTGCATGTGTGAGGGATCAAGAAGGCGTGCTGCGCGTGCTGCATGTTTTTGGGCGATGTTTTTTTTTTTTGGGAAGGGAATCAGACAATTGCAGGATGGATTTCAGGAAGGGGTGGGGAAGTGGTTTAGAAGGAGAACCACTTGACTACCGTAAAGCACATGCCATGACGATCGATTTGAGAACTCATGAGAAACGATCCAAGAGGAGGTATAGGGTGGCTCCAACTTGAATCCAGAAACGGAGTTCATCTCACTTGGGAATGGACATCTCACCGTTTGAATCGTTGAGCCATCACCCGTAGCTTGGCAGCCTGGCATGGCATCGTGCCACTCGACCTGAGACCAAGGACTTCTGCTGCGGCGCCCGCGAGCACCGTGACGCCGCGGTGGCCTTGGGCGCGGTGCCGCAACTGCTGGCGCTGCTGTCGTCCGCCCAGGAGGAGGCGCCAAAAGGGACGGTGCATTGGGTGAGGGGTGGGTGGGGTGCAAAACTGTGGAGGACTCGTGCGTTGACTGCGGACACGCCCTCTTTTGATCATGTGAAACTCTGAAACAGGACCTGTGGATCCGGGTGGACTATGTTCCTCTACACCAATGGATGCAACAGGGACTTGTAGAATGCAAAGGGCTTCTTGCCAGATACAACATGTTTCAACAAGTCAGGAAGACATTTTGGGACACCAATTGCTAAGTCATCAGGGAAGTCATGGCTGCGAGGCGCCTCGTGCCGGAGCCTGGAGGGCTGGGTGAGATGGACGGCGAATCGCGCGATCCATAGCGGCAGAACATGGGTCTTTTGACGCACACAGAGCGTGAATTGTTTTTTCTTTGTTTGTTTTCCAAAGATCCACTACTGTGTGTGATCCGCTTCCTTTTGTCATCGACAAGATGGATTGTTCAGAAGGACTGGGTGATCATACAGATGATCAGCTCGCAACAGTATGCTGGCAGATGGCCGAGGGTGCTTAATACAGGTTTGCCCCATGGATAGAACGAGTCATGCATGTGTGGCCAGGTTGCAGCCGCCGCAGCACAGACGTTGCTTGGAGCAGAAACTGGATCTGAAAGAAGCCTGCACTCCGACCCGCTCGCATGGAAGTGCCCTTCCTGGTTTTTGAAGTGCCCAAGACGTCCATCATCATCCTTCCCCATGTGATGCGTGGCCCTTGCTTCGGGTTGGAACAAGCTGCTATCAGGGCTTCCCATGTGACACCGGGTTGACCCCCATCGCTGTGTATTTGACCCTGCTGCCAGTGATGACCTGCCAGTGGCTTCTTGAAACCAATCACCGCACAACTCCGCTTCCGACAACCACCGGTGCCAACCGAAAACAACATCAAGAACCTCCTCCCCTTTTCGGCCCCCCCTTCGCGTGGTGCGCGCAGACGGCGACCGAAGCAGACGGCGAGTCCCGCGAGGTTGCGGAACATCGCCGCCGACCGGAGCGGTGCCAGCGCCGTGCACGACGCGGGAGGCGGACCACGGGAGGACAAGAGGACAGGCGAAATCGGGTTGGAGTGAATTGAGTGAATGATGGTAGATGATCAATGTGAGGTTTCTGTTTCGAGTGGCAGGCAGTGGCAGGAATCTGCTTCTGAAATGTGGTTTGGTTTGAGGGGGCCGACCTGCTATCGCAATATAGCCCAATGAACTTTTGTGGGTAACTAGCGGGTATCCCGAGCGCATCCAATGTTGACTAACAAGCCACTCCAGAAAAGACAGCCACTGGTCAACCTTCGTGCTTTAGAACCTACCAACAGAGGTTGAAGAGCCCTAGTTCCACTATCCCATAGGTACCCCAGTATGGTCCTTTTTCAGGTCACAAAAACCTCTTTGTTCGTTTGGTTTATGTTGCTCCTCCAGGGTTGGATTCAGCTGCATAACAGATCGGTTCCTTCTCGTCCGGGGTCACATGTTCTTTCAAGATCAGTCCGTGGTGCAGGAATACTGTAGGTCCCACGGACGAGCAGCTGGACCCCAACTCGGTGAGACCAAAAGGACAACAACGGACATTTCCCAAAGCCAACCCACACCCAAAAACTGCTGGCGTGATACGATTTTTTTACTCCAAACACCGCAGCTCTAAGCTTCACCTCTGGCAAGAAATTGAACAAACCCAACCCAACCAACCCAACCCAACCCAACTTCACCGCTGTAAGCTTCAACCCAACCCTTCAGCATCCACCTCGATCACCTTGGACCGACCCCTCTAGGCCTCGCGCCGCTGCTGGCGCTCGCCACGCGCGGCGCGCGGTCGGGCGCCGCGTTTCGCGCGGCCTCGGCGCTGACGAACCTGGCAGAGTGGCCCGAGCTGGTGCCGGCGCTGAAGGAGGCGCGTGGGGGCGTGAAAAGCGGGGTTTTGTGGTGGGTTTGGTGGGTATAGATTTGGGAGGGCTCGGAGGGAAGAGGGGAAGGTGTGGATGTTAATGTTGATGTTTTTGGATGGAGTTTCTCCATAGATGAATGTGTTTAAAGCTGTTGGAATTGAACCTCTTGCTTCTGATTCTATTTTCTCTAAGGATCTAAGAGAAGCTTTTGAAGGAACGGACCAGGGCCAGGACACGTCGATTCTATGAAGGGTTAGGAGATTGCGATTGATTGGATTTCTGTGATCTGGTGGATGTACCAAAGTGTATGGAAATGACACTTGAGACGTTAAGGCATATGGCACTTGGAGAAAGGTATAGGAATGCGGTCTTTCGTGGTAGGCTGCAAAGGATGTTTGGAGCTTTTCTGTTGCAAAGCTCTGAATGTCTATGTGTGTAGACTGCCATTGGCTGGGATCGGACTCTGGTGAGGAGGGCAGCGGAACCCTGCCTTATTCACATAGTTTTGGATTTTTATTCTGCTGCAAGAACACTCCGCGATTAGCAGATCCACTGTCAGCGGCATGAGGCATTCCCCTTCCCAGCAAGAATTGCTTCATCGCTTCATCGAAGGGTGGTCAGTTGTTGTGGACAATCCCATGGTTGCTTGGGTGCACAATCTGCTCTGTAGCAACCGATCTCGGACCCTGCCGGGGAGCATCGCAGGCAGGGACGGTGGCGGTCTTGCGGAAGCTCTCAGGACAAATCCCCAGCAGTTTGGCATGAGCAAGGAAAAAAACAGAAAGGCAGCCGCAGGGCTTGGTGGCGGCTCATTTCTTTGCATGATGGCTCTGTTTGTTTTTGGGAAGCTTCTTCATCTAGTCTAGCTTCTCCCTTGGCCCGTTCGTTCTATCGCTCCAACGGGCGGCCGGCTGTGCCGACGGTTGCATTGGCTGAGAAACAAAAGACCGATGACGGGAGGGGGTTCGTCCTTTGATGTACTATTGACCATTGGAGAGGTTTTGAGTCTTGGGTGAGGAGGGCCGGGCCGAGGGCCAGAATCGTGGTGCTGTATGGATCGTTGTTGACCACGACTTCCGGGTTTTGCTTCAAAAGAGGTTCTTATTGTCCCTATGGGGATTCATCCCCTGGGTTGGGAAGTACATTCGATTTTTTCCTGGTCCCTGGACAGCAAATCCATTTTTGGTTGATCCATTCTTGCTTCGAAAAGAACCAGGGACATAGCAGTGGCAGGTGCAAGAGACCTCGGGTGGTGAGGAGGAGCTCCTCTTGGAAAAGAGGATGCCTCGCTGAACTCCAAGGTGCTCTTGAACGGGGATCCTACTATTCGGCCCCCCGCATGTTGTTGAAGATGACCCTCTAAAAATCGCAGGAAACCTCTGAAGGAGTTCGCTTTCGATTGGCACCTCTGAAGGTTTGAACACCATCAGGAAGAAACCAAGCACAGCTTGCCTCGTCTTCTTTTCGTCCTTTGCCTCGGCACCCGGTCCATGGAACCGCCTGCCCACGGTCCTCGTCCGTCCGCTTGGGGGCTCCAGAAAGCGGGTCCACGAAAGCGAACTCGTTGCGAGTCCAGAGACCTGTGACACAAACATGGCGGGACCAGGAGGCGGAGCCAGGGGATGGAGCCACGGATGGAAGGTGACTGGTTGGTTTGTGATGTAAGATCAACAAGCTCGTGGTAAAGAACCTTTCTGGAGCCAGGGATAGTAGAGCCTGGTAGAGCCTTTCCCAAGCTTGACGCGAGACCGCATTTCACATTCCTTTATTTATTGCATACCCTTGGTTTTGATCAACTCGGCATTCATTCGTGAGATAACTCTTTTTTTTGACATTGAGTAATCGTTCCACAAATTATTCTTCTATAGAGTTTTCAACTTGGATGCGGACGGTAGGGGTTGTGCAATGCCCCCACCCTCTCCTAGTCCTTACTTATGGTGATGCTCAGAGAAGGGCAGTATCTTGTCTTGCAGTATTATTGTCTTCATGGTGAACAGTTTGTTGACGACAGAATTTGCAATCGGTGACCAAAACCCCTAAACCCCTAAACCCCTTCAACCAGGACAGACTTTGCAGTTCAAGCAACACCCCTAAACCCAAACCCCTTCAACCACTTGACTTTTCCCGGACTAGTCGGTTTAAACTCTGGCAGGACCAGAGTTCAAGCTTGTGCTTTGTGGCGATGGCGGTGTGGGGAAGACTACTTTGGTGAAGCGCCACCTCACAGGCGACGCAGCGCTTTGTCTCCGCGGAACTGTCCGCGGCTGTCTCCGGAAGGGGTCGGTGAAGGGCACCGTTGGTGCGTGAAGGCGACGTGTCCTGCATGCGGTATGACCGATTCGACGTATTTTGAACAAGCCCTTGGTGGGTGGCCGAGTTCTTTTTTTTTGGCGCTGGAGGCGAACAACAAAGGAAAGCATGCCCAGGCAGCTTGATGTGTACCAGGACCCTAAGGGGTGTCTGTTGATAGCCCCTTAGGCCCCTTAAAGGGGTGTCCATTAACCACCCCTTGTGGGTCCTAGTACTACTGATACTACTAGTCCCCTTTTGTGACGACGAGGAAGGAACCTGACGGTGTCAGAGACGTGAGCCGTGTACTCCACGTGTGGACGGGCAGCGGGCGCCACGGTTGGGCGCCACGGACGGATGCGCCACTTGGTGCCAGGTGAGTTTGAGAAGAAGTACATCCCGACCCTAGGCCGGGAGTCTGAGGTGAGTGTCTGCCACAGAGATCACCAAAGATCAAATACTTATCAGAGATCATTCTGAGTGGAGAATTCTCGGAGAATCTGCCATTTCATTCTATATGGATCTTCGCGTTCGCGTTTGCGACGAATCTCTTTGGTCTATTTGTTGGGACAAAACATCATCGACATGATTTGGTCTATGTTTTTTTTGGATCAAACAAACCCATCATCGACATGCATTGTTACGGACACAATACCACATCAAGAACACACCATATAGTTCGGTTATTAGGGTCCCCCCCCGGCCTGGCCTCCTCTGGTTTTTCTTTTCGGGCCGTTACTTCCGGAACCGCTCCAACCGGTCGTTACTTCGCCTGCGTGGGACCGGTCGGACGTCAGGTGTCGAAGTGCATCCGCTTCGCTTCACCACGAATTGTGCGAGTTCCCAGCGTGGTCGGAACGAGTGGTCGGGAGGAGTGGTCGGAACCAGCGACATCGGCAGTGGGGGTTGGAATCTTCGAAGCAACGGACGAAACGGGCGCCTTCACTTCCATAAAAGGATAGAAGCTGAGAAACGATACCACCAGTTCCGCCAGGGGGGGTTGCACCAGGTATGCAGGCAGCCTTTGAGTAAGGGGCTGATCCCCCCTTTCTTTGGCGCGGAAAGGTTCCGCGTCGGTTCCACGCCACGGGACCTGAGGTGGCCCCCTGACCTTCAATGTTTGGGACACTGCTGGTCAGGAGAGCGTCGTCTCTTTTCCCGCTGTGGACCGAGACAGACAGGGAGGACTCTGCTGGATCCGAAGAAAAAGGACACATGAACTTCGATTGCTTTGGGGATCTGCTCCTTCTGGGCTCCTTCTGGGCGAACGAAGACCGCTTTTCCGTACGCCTCTCGGCCTCTCGGAACCTTGGACTAGTGCACTTCAGGGTCTGTCCGGTGTCGCCGGCGGGACGGGTGCGGACCCGCCCCGGTCGGCACCAGTTCGACCGTCCCCCCAAGCCGCTTGGAGATCCGCCAAACCTCTCGTCTTTCGGAGAGGTGCCCCGCTTTCTCTCGTCGAGTCGGGGCACGGATCGACAGCCACGCGGCTGGATCGACAGGAGAAGTTTGGCGGCCTGCGCGATGGCTATTACATTCAGGGCGCGGGGGTGGCCGGGAGGCGTTTGTGGCGGTGGTAAACTAGGCTGGCAACATCAGAGCAATTTGTTTGGCACTTACAAGCTGTTGGAGGCTGATGGCATCTGGTGTTTTAATGAGAGGTCGCTGTAGAAACTACTTTCGACTGCAGATATCCTGCATCACCGTGTTTGGACCACAGGATATCAAGTATGTACAGTGCTTTTGGTGTCGCAGGTGTCGTCTGTTGTTGAATGTAGTAGATTTGGGAAATAATCGCTGGATGATCAGCTTCGTCTTGCTTCTTGCAGTCTTAGAGTCTAGATGTACACACTAGAAGCTTGGAGTGGGTGAGTAGAGAGCAGACTTTCATTTGCTGTCTCTTCTACCAACAGTTTCTGCAATAGCTTGATTCTGAGACAAACCAATGACTTCCGAAGTCAAGGACAGTCCGACCGATGTCACCTCCCCAGGCCAGTGCGCGATCATCATGTTCGATGTCACCTCTCGTATTACCTATAAGGCTGGTGTCAGACAATGTCTGACAGACGTGAGGATTCTGACAAGAGGCCAACCAACCCCATTGGATTGCATTGGGTTGGAGTGGGTTTCCTCAACTTAGAGAGCTCTCCTCAGCAAACAGTCTGTGTCAACGTCTTCGTGATATTTATCATGGGATTTTCGTTGCCACGCAGGGTTTCGAGGGTGTTCATGTTGTTTTGCTTCTACCTGCATGACCGCCAACTGGTGTCTGGAACCGTGCAGTATCAATCGATTTGCATGTATTGAGTCTTGGACACTGCGAAAGCTTTTCAACATTCCAAGGGACCTCCCAAATCGTCCCGTCCCCGCAGCCGTTTTTAAACACTTCGAAGCGTTTGGACGAAAGAGCCACCACATGGATCACCACCAGACGGACATCGAAGCGCATCGACGAAGGAGCCGACTCGACGAAGCAAGCTCTGAATTGAAAAGCGAAAGATCAGATCGCACCCCAGATTGGCCCATCCCGGAGGATGAAGCAACATGAACATATGATAACATATATGGAGCGCTAGTCTTAGCAGAAAAGACTCCGTAGTCCGGGCTTCCTAAAGACGACGAAGACTCTCGCTCTACTCGGTGAAACATCGATCCTCTGCACCGGTTCGGTCTGCTGAAACAACCTCCATCGACGCGCAGATCGGGTGCGGGGGGGACAGCGCACTTGATCCGCCGGTCTACTCGCTAGACCTTGAGTTGATGCTGTCTAGCTTTACTCAGCTTTTTCCACCCAGCTTAAGGTGGACTTCAGATTGTCCCACCTTTTCCCACCCAGCTTTAGTTGATCCGCCTCGCCAAAACCCATGACGTACGATCTGGAGAAACGCGGGCTGGTGTCCGACTCTATGTAGCTGGGCCTGCATTTGAGAGCTGGAAGGAAGCCATTGGGATGGAGACATTTTTTGAACATGACGGGCAAGTCGGACTACCGCACGGTGCGTTACGTAACAACCCTTTGCTCCACTCAGAGTTCACTTGATTTGGCTTTTTTTGCTTCCGTACATGGCGAAAAAGGGGTGCTGTTCCCAAAGATGTTCGTTTCCTTGGTGACTTGGCTTCGTTTGCTAAAGCTATGTGTGTCCCGATCACCAGAGGTCGTTTTCTACGTCTTTTTCGGAGAACTCGCCCGTTGCGACAGCGAAGCGTAGCGTAGCGGCGCGCGTGGACACATGCGAGAGAATGAGCTGTTGAGTGGGGATTACAATCCAGTATGAGGGTCTTCTACCAGGTTTTGGCTGGGCCGTGGCATGTGGATGGCGCCCTTGGAATTCCATTGTCCACTCGAGAACACGAGTTGCTTGGTTGAACCTTCCTTTTTGGCCCACCGTCCAGGTCGGATGACAACGAGGCCCGGCGATGCCCAATGGCTCGCACGTCGGCACAAACGGTCGAAACGCCCGCATCAAAAGAAAGAGACTTGCCCGGCTGGATGGTCTACCTGCGTATCAAAAAGCAGATCCACCATTCGAACCTCGCCTGTTTCACAGGATCTTCACTGTCGCCGCTGCGGGCGTCGCTGGGAGCCGAGCGGGGCGCGGTTCTGCCCGAAGTGCGGGGCCAGGCGTGAGGGGCCCCGAGCCTGGGGGTTGCATCGAAAGACCGAGCCATGGAAAGTCATCCCAAAGTGGAACAACATGGCTGAAAGACGGCTGAAAACATCTGAACACTTAGAGCGCATTTCAGATGTTTTCTGTTGCAACTTAAATGTCCCAGTTAACTTGTGTTGGTTAAAACACTTAATGATCATCTGAAGACCTAGAATACATTTCCCGAAGATCCTGAGCCTGTTGTTGAGTGAGGGGTGAACTGGGCAGTTCTAGTCTCGTGGAGTCAACTGATGAAGGAGGTTGATCTCCCTGAAAACCCAGTCCCAACCAGATGGACCTGGATGTTGATCTCTGCCTGAGCCTATTTCGTATGTAAAGGATTTCAATTGCCATGATGGAACATCCGTTTTCTTTTTTGGGTTGGGACTGGGGTTCCAGGAAGGTCTGGCGGGGATGGTGAAGCATCTAGGGTTTGACATGGTTTGACACTCTCTCACTTGGGAACTTGGACTGCGCGAAGTGCTGGGAAGTTGCGGACCTGCCAGCGTGTATAGTGTATGCTTTCTTTCCTTGTTCTCCGTTTGAGAAGAGTGTCACCGCACCTGCTAGACCCGACTCCACTCCTCGACTTCACTCCTCGACTCCCCTCGACTCCATTCACGGTGTTTTTGGTGCCGCAGGCGCCGCGAGCAGTTCGGGTCATGTTGCCCGAGCTTCTTTTGTTGCTGCTGCATTTGCTGTGCCCCTCGCTCAGCAATTTGGTGGCGTTTTTTTAGGGTGCAGAAGCGGAATCCAGTGGGGTTGCGGAGGCCAGCGAAGCATCTCCAAGCACGGCTAAAAACTGAACAACCCTAAGCACGGTGGAAATGACATGGATCCGCACAGAAGGTGAGTCTTCTGCACTCCTGGATCTCGCGAAGTGACAGGTTGGTGTCTTTGCAAGACTTGTGTGAGCGTACAATGAAAAACATGTTGGAGAATGGTCACGAGTTCTCCTGCACCCACCAACTTCCAATTCACTCCAGGTCGTGCCCCGGCGGTGGGTTTTCATGCTTTTCATTGGGTTTTCCGATGTTTTTTCCGTAGATTGTTACTATGCAACTGACAGTGCCATGCTGCAACCCGTGCTCTTCGTTCGCACAATCTCAGCACACCTGGATGCCTCCTTGTCCTTTGCTCCCCTTCCGTGCGTTTCTCCAAGGTCTCTTTGCTTTTGATCCTGGTGATCAGCGACTTGGTCTCCGCGAAGGGGATGAAAGGTGAGGTCTTGAAAGTCTTGAAAGAGGTGATCTGAGCTTAGCCTCCCCAAGAGGTGGAAGTGCAGGGGTGGAATCGCACGACCAGGCCTTACTACTAGGAACAAGGGGCGCTACTAAGGGTGGTTGTTGCTTTGGGCACTTGGGGAGTGTTGGTCTGTCGGCCTCGTTTCGTAGCTGACAGTGGGAGTTCCTCATTGATCCCATGGAAGAAGGGAAATAGACCAAAGCACACTGGTTGGTTCATGGTGTTTGCCTTACGCATTGCCTTAAGGGCAACCGCTGACAGGCCGCTGACAGGCCATTCCTGCGTTGCCGTGCAAGCGCCCCGACGCTTTCGACGCACCGAAGTGAAGAGGTTTGCCCCGGAGCGGGTTGGACGGCGATGCCGGCGATGCCGCGGGGTGCCCCAAACCCCAAACACTCCATCTACGCCTATATTTTTTTCCATCAGTTGGGGCGGGTTTGGGGGGTTCATTTAGGCATATGTTCCAGGCCGATGGAAGTCGTCGTGTCTACCAGCTCCCTCCGGTCTCCACTTCTTGCGTGGAAAGGCCTGGTTCTTGGCATCAACAGTCTTCAGACCTGGCTCAGCTCCAGCGCGGTCAAGGTGCTGTCGGCCACGCTGAATGTGTGGCCCGGTTTTGAGGGATGTTGTTATTTCGGCGTTTTTGTCGGTCGAGGCTCGCGGGAAAGTTTTTGTTTTTTTATTTTTTCTGGAATGGGGAGCCAGCAAAACAATACAACGATTAAGAACGATATTCCATACAACGATGTTTTGTTTCTTTTTTAAAGTCCTATTTTGTTTGTTTCTTTATCTTTTTCTCGTTTGGCTTGTGTGGCTTGTTTTCGATGATTGGACTGGGGCATCATGCCAGTCTTCGGGGATGGTGCCTGGAAAAACTCTCCACTCTCAACCACGGTTCCAGGGCTTTTGTCGTTCTGAAAAGGCACTGTCTTAGACTACTAAGACCTTCCCCACGTTGGTCGGTGTCAGTTTAACTTCAGGTTTCTTCAGCTGTTTTCTTGAGTTCATTAGCTTAATTCATGACAGGAGAAACCGTTGAGAAACCCAACAACAGGGGAGGAAGACCTGAAAGGCTACTTCGATGTCTATGGCTAGGGTTTTGGGACGTTATGACATCCATTCTTCTTTAGTGATGATCGGTGATAATGGTGATGTTACGAAATCGCATGCTCCAAGTGGGCGTTCTTCGGCTGTCATTATGCACCAGGACAACCCACTATACACTGTATTCGTCTAGTGAAACCCGACTCCAGACTAAGTCCAAAAAACGCGTTCTGCAACACTTGGTTTCTAGACCACCGTTTATTCCATCTCTGAACCCCTTCCACTGGCACATGGACGTCGCGTCCGTTCGCGCCTTCCAACTCACCGGTTTTACCCTGCCTAGGCCAGTGACTTTGGGCTATGTTCCTTTGGCGGCTGGAGAGTCAGTAGTGATGGGTACCTGGAGGAACCCCAACACCCCCCCAGTTATGAAGCTGAAGCACCGTCAACCAGTTTTCTTTTGTGCCTCTCTGAGTATATTTCTGATCTACCTTAACTGAAGAAGAACCTTCGATCGAAGTTGCTCCAACGAAGGATTCGATGCTCCAGGCAGGCAGGATTCCATGCTAGGCCAATTAGGCGACTGATGGTGCGTGCTTTTTGCGTTTGTGTTGAGGGCCTTGCCAAGGCCCATGAGATTCCACAAACTTGGCTGTTTTCAAACAGGGGATTCCAAACCAGGGGTTTTTGCGAGATGGTTTCCTGGTGCTTAGCAGCTTAGCAGCAGCGAACACCAAGAAGCTTGGCAGCTTGCCCGCGGCTTGCCTTTTGGTCGACCGGAGTGGGTTATTAATTTGAGGGGTCCAGAGACTTTTGTTTGGCTCGGCTCAGAATGCATGTGACCCAGATGGGGGACACTTTTCTCGAACAATGATGACTCCCTAGGCCCTGGGAGGTCATGGCTACTTCGAACCCCCAAATGGATGGGACCCACCGCGGCCCGCCAGCCATGACGAAAAACGCTTCTCCAAGACTTCCAAGGTACATATTGGGCTTTTGGAAGGCCGTGCAGCAGTGCGAGACTTGATCGTGGGCAGTCCGCCAGGCCGCGCAATCGAAGAGGTCGACGGCCCTGGAAAAGTGGGCCATCGAAGCTGTGCAGCCGAGATGACCACCAAGAATCCCCAAGTTCGGTCGATGGACCCCCATCTAAGAGGCATCTTGGGGTCTGTGCCATCTACTATGAAACCACTAGATGTTTCTGGCCGTCTTGTGTTCCATTCTGAAGTTTTGGGTTTTCGACGGCGAAATCGAGGCATGGCGGCAAAGTAAGCGGTGTTTTGGTAAGATCAAGACTTCTACAGACATGTTCCACTTGGTTCTACGGTTTGGTCATAGACTTCCAGTTTTGCCACCTTCAATTGGAATGACAGTCGCGACTTGGAATGACCCTTTTGTAAGGATTTCCTGAAATTGCTATATACATACACAGTGACAGCGCAGATACTCAGATATTTCAATCGGCACGGCCAAATTGAAGCCTTGCCGATTGAGACGAGACTGCTGCCGACCCATGCTTAGTTGTGAGCCAAAGGGGCCAAAGGGGTCTGAAGGGGACAGGTGGAAGTGTGGAACGGGATGACATGTAGACCAACGCATAGTCATGGATGGAGAAGACGATCGACAAAGAACAAGATTCTCAGGACATGAGTCGTTGTCACATGTCTCGTCCTTTATTCAAGTCCTTGGGCATGTGATCCAACCTGGAAAACGACCCGATCGCCGATGAACGGTCCCTTCGGTGCCGCCGGCATGGACCGCAGCGCCAGGCTTCTCGCATGACTTTTTGGATCTGGAACACTTGGAGTCTTGGACCGATGCGACCGATGCGACCGATGCGACCGATGCGCTGGCTCCGCACCAGCAAGCACCCAAAGAGATGTAGACAATGTAGACTCTTGAGGTACATAAACCTCCCATACTGTGAAGAGGATTTCCAATTGACATGGGGGGTTTATGATCAAGAGTCTACACTATCATGGTCTTTTCCTTCGAAAAAAGAGGGGATCATGTTTGGGGTCTAGGACATGACATTCTTCACAGGTCAAGTCACACGTTTTATGGACATTTTCTTGTTTTGAATGGCCGGTTTCCCGATTTTGAGAACCCCAAAAACATCAGTAAGCACTGGACATGGACGCGACTGGAGCCGAAGTGGACCAAGCTGAGATTGGCCAAAGGTTGAGAAAATAAAGCTGAAGCGAACGGAGCCAATAAGATTGATGTGTATTTTTGTCGCCGAGTCTTCGTTTTTTTCACCGATTTTCACAGATTTTGTAGCCAGGGAGGTCTTGCTGAGCTCCTTGTGCTAGACATTGCCCTGCGAATTGGTGAGGAACGAGGAGAACCTTGAAGAGAAGGCTAAATCCATCATCGTACCCTTAAGTAGCAGATGGATTTCATTAGTCATCAAGTCTGATCCCGGCAAGCTTGCGCTGTGTCACCATCAGGACAATGTATGTGTGTAGAGTAGTGCAGTGCAGTGCAGCGCAGTGTTGTGGTCTGTGGTCTGTGTTGCTGTTGGTTTTTGTGGGATAAAGACCTTCTGCCAAGGTCTTCGACATTGGCCCCATGTCTTTGCTGCAGTCGCGGTTGCTGGGTTCCTCCAGCTTCCCCATCGAAGTGGAGGAGGTGCTGGTGCGGTGGTCGATGGAGACCGGAGGTCGAACCAAGCCCTCTACCCCCGTGCTCGGGTAGGCTCCACCAAGTGGAAGAATAGAAGAACCACATCTGCAAGTTCGGAGTGCTTGCACGATGTGGCCGTCCAGGGCCTAGATGTTCCTCCAGATGCAGTCTGATGGGTTTTTTCAAGGATTCCATTCATGAGTGTCACAAGCTGCGCTATTGGCCATCGCACATGAGACAAAACCTTTGCATTAGTTGCAGATTTGGATCGGACAACTTGAATGATCCGACGTTGCACCAGCGTGATTGTTTGACACTTGCTCTTGTTTCACTTGGTCTTCAGATTAGCTGGAAGTTTGGACAATCCACGTCCATTATATTCCATTATCATGGTGTATATTCAGGTTGTATGGATCATGGTACTGCTGTATTAGTTTCATGATCCATGTCACCCTGAATCCCAGGCATTTACTCCACACCCGGACACTTGATCTATGGCCTATAGGCCTATAGGTTTCTATTTTTGATGTGACCGCGTGCCCAAACCAAACACTCCCAGGTAGACCACCGCTTCTGAGTACAGTATGTTTTGGGATGCTTGCCAGTTTAGGGGGACTGCGACCCCATATTAATGTTTCTTAGTTCCCAGCGTTTCGCTAGAATATGAGCATGGTTTGCACAGCTTCCCAGGTTTCGCTTTCTCAATCTGGGTGCGGATTACAACAACCACTCTTCACAGCATTGCATGTTGAGTTTGTAGAACGGACTTCCTTGAGATCCTTATGTCGGTCCTCAGGTCCTCACGCCTTTCGAACTGAAGAAACAAAGGCCCTTACCGGTCGACACCCGACACGCGACTCGACCGGTTCGGTTCGTTGGGTGGGTTCGTTGGAACAGCGGAAACAACAGCAATCAGATCAGCGTGAAGACGTTGCACGTCTTCATTGAGCAAGCCTCTGAGAGCTCGCCGTCCAATGCGAAGATCATCGTCGATCACCTGACGCTAGGCTTTGACTGCGCGAACGCGACGAATGATTGGCCGGGCAACAACCCCCGGTGCAAAAGGAAAATAGACCAAAGAGTACTGGGTCTTCCTTTCAAAATACACACCCATTTGGGCAGGCTTTCCCTCATAAGTCGTGTGAATGCTATGGCAAGTGGGGGTAAGAGCCACCTGGAAATGCTTCAAGCATGAATGCTTGACACATCTTTGGATGTGGACCAACCTCATGACAGGAATCTGGGACGTAGAGATACATGTTTCATCATTTTTCAGTGTTGCCTCGTGAGGTCACTCAATAGAAGTTCTTGGTGTTGATCCTAGGTGAGAGTTTCTTGATTCTTCAAGGAAAGTGTGTCACGACTGGTCAGGGATCCTTCCATTGGCCAACTATGGTAGATATTCTGTCCAGACATAGATCACTGTGTTAGTCATTCCTCTCCCAAGAGCTTAGCACACAAGAAAATAATGGCTCCCATTCTTTGCCTGAACTATCTTGAACTGTTTAAAGTTGCAACATCATGTTCAACATGTTCCAATCCGGATTCTAAAGTATTTGTCAACGACTTTGCTACCCATCCATCTGGTAGCCATGCACACCCGGGTCTGACAAGCCTTCGAGCAGCCCTGAGGAATTCCTTAGCCGCCTCTTCCTTGGCCGCTCCGACCGCGCAGCAAGTGGAGGCCACAGAAACTGGCAGAAACCACAGCACGAAAGTTTCTGGGTCAAGGCCTGATCAGGTTAGCCGTTCGCCTTTATCTAACATGATTTGGTGGATGACATGGCCTTTTGAAGACTACTTTCCCATAGGAACAGGTCTTCCGGCATTCTTTTCAACTTCCATCACTGTTGGAGGAAGGGAGCTCTGGAACCCTTCAACCTTCCTGACGTAAACGTGTTTACGTCTGACATGGTTTCCATTTTTTTCCAATGCTCTCCGACACAAGTGTGTTTGCATTTTAATAGGGACACCGTCCGGGAGACCTTGCCCTGGCTAAGTAGAAGACCAGTCTGCTCCAGGGGGTTGCTTCTTCTTCTTTTCGGAACGCCTGGGAGGTCTCCTATATACGACCGGACCCCCATGGTGCGTTGAAACCTTGAAAGACGTCCATCACCGACTCGGGTCGGCGTTCCAGGACTCGGCGGCCGAAGCGGTTCATGCGTTGACCAGCCGGATCCAGGCAGTGCCATGGCACCGGTTTACTTGTAGGGTGGCTGCTAGCAGTATACCACTATTTGGTATCATGCACCTATATTGGTGCTATGCTTGATTTAGGCTTGCACCATACTACAAGCAAGTAACATGTACTAGTACTACAAGTAAGTACAAGACTATCATTGAGTTGTTGTGTTCCTTAGAACCAGCTTCCATCCCAAGCCAAGAGCGCTTTGCTCCCATTGAAATTGACCATGACAGCCACACATCGCTCTGTATTCGGAAAACGCACTTGCGCAGTCCACTCCTGATGGTTTGGACATTCACCAAGAGACTTCAAAAACAAAGCATGTCTATTTCCGGTGCTTGCTTCGTTCACCGCCACTTCCCACCCACCCACGTGACACTAAGTCCCAACTCACCGCCTGTTCGCCCCGAGGATCGCATCGACTTCGAGGACATCGGCATCGGCTATTGCGTGAATCCGAACTGTGAGAAGATGGGACCGGCCACCTATGTTATCAAGGAGATCCTGATCCAAGATGTCGGAGCCATGGATTTCACCAGGCAGATGCGACAGATGCGAGCGAGGCGCAAGATGCAGGAGCGAAAGAATTGAAAGCGGGGGGGACTCACTCACAGCTTTGACGACCGGTCCAGGGTTGAGAGCAAACTCTGAGGATTCCGGGATCATCCTTTTGATTTCATAAGATTTTTATAAGTTACTGTAAGTTTCCCTAAAGATCTAGGAACCATTAAAATCATCAGTGCGAGCGCTTCTTCAAGGAAGCTCCCCCCGCCTGATCCTGCGTCCTAGCTAGAGGAGCGAACTAGTCGCCCTTTCTTAATTGAGTAGGTGCCTACTTAATTAAGTAAGGGGGCCGGGCCATGGGCTTAGAAAAAGGATCTGGGAATTCCGAGCGGTGGGTTTTGGAAAAAGACCATGGGGCCGGCCCAACCCTCCACGAGAATTTTCGAGTTTGCGCGGAGATGAGATCTTACAAGATCAGTTTGGTGTGGCTAGCTGCTGAAAGGATCCCTGCTTACTCGATCCTATTCGGAGCTCCATGTTCATTGCTTCTGCCGCTCTTTTTTTCTTTGTACTCTATGTCCAGCGAACAAGACAATGTCTTTCACGTCGCTGTCCTGTACGCAGAATCCTGCTCCGCAACGCACCCTTTTTTGCTTTTCCCGAACTACTTCGTCCCGGCAGCATGTTGTGGTTTTCAACACGTCCGGATCTTCCCTCCACCCGACGTTCCTTGACCAGAGGGCCGGACCGCATGCCTCGCATGCCTCAGGAAAGAAAGGCAAAGGTGTTTTCCTCTACCAACTCGCTGAGGCGCCCCCCGGGCCGAGGTCTGTTTTGGGGGGATGGAAGCTGCGATCGGAATCGGCCCAATGGTTGGAAAATGATCAGTGTATCTATTGTTCAGCTGTGATGCCTCTACCTTGGACGGCTCGTCCTTGGAGTTCCATTTTTTCATGTGGCCTTTTCTGCTCTCCACACAACCTCGACCCTTCGGCGACCCCAAAAACGCCCGCGGAGGTGTTTCAACCACTGGGCGCCTCCGGCGCAATCCCGGGGGGGGTGGTGGACATGGGGTCATGGGGTCATGTGCACAGGGTAACTGGTTCACCTCGGCTGCCCCCGCGTGACCTCCCAGGTGGTGGTGCGCACTTTGCTCCTGGCGATTTTGAAGGCCGCGCCGGAGAACCTCCGAGAGAACCTGCTTCGCCGCTCGGTCGGACGAGCTGTGCAGTCGCTGTGCGGTCGCGGGGGTCGCGGGGGTCGCGGGAAGGAGCCTCTTTTGATTTTACCTGTTTTTCCGGATTCCTTTGGGTCCAGCCACCCTCTCTCATTCCTTGCTTTCATCGCACCAGTCCTTTTTTTTGGAAGGTGTCTTTTTTGTTTCGCTTTTGGGTGTATTTCTTTGTTTGGAGCGTAGCGACGTGGTGAGGGATGGGGAAGATGGGGTGTCAGATGGGGTGTCAGCTTGAGGAAAGGTGCGAGGGGTAGAACACCAGAGGATTTGTTTGATGAAGTAATCAATCATCTCATCTCATGCGTTTTCATCGGCTAGACATGTTTTTGGCCCAGATTCCTCTTTCAGGACACCTGAAACTCAGCTAGAGGTGACTTCCAAAAAGCAGGGTGTCTTCATTGATCTGATTTTTGGGGATTCTTCCAAAAGGTCTGGGCGAAAGGTCTCCCATGGTTTTTGGGTTTTTGGGTCGAAGGCCAGCATCTCCATGGTGAACTCAGCACCCGGTTTTAGTTTCACCACTTGTTCCGGTTTTTTGACTGGCAACAACATCCCAAAAGCCGTCCATCTTCCAGATTCCGATGGGTTAATCATGTTTTTTCTCTTTTTTCCCATGCACCAAAGGCTGTTTCACTCCAAGTTTTCAGGATTTGCTGGCGCTTTCAAAGGGAAAGGCGAGCAGAGCCAGTCCAGCGGTCCAGTGATGGGTGTGGTGTTTCTTTCCCGCTGATCACCACGGCTTTCCCTCCTGGCTGTGTGGGGCGGTTTGGGGCGACGTCGCCTCGTGGCGGGCCTTCTACCAGGTGCCGTGGGCTCTGGGATCCAGAATCAATTGGATGACCTGGACTTTGGCAGCGCGACCTGTCTGCGCGTAGACCGGTCCCCTGGTGCGTCGGGCTCGAGCACCCCGCGGACGTGGGCGTGGGGGTGAGGCATACAGGTGGGGCGCGGGGCCAGTTCCGCGCGTTTGCCAGTTCCTCCAGTTCCCCAAGTCATGCAGAGGTTTTGGCGGCTTTCACCTTGCACCCTCAGGTCCACCTCGATCTGGGCGATGGGAGCGGCCTCCAGAGTGCAGGAGACCAGCGATGACGGACTGGGCGAGGACGTGGGACTGGTGTGTGTTGGCTTCTCCCACCCGATTGGTTCCTTCAAATTGGGATCCAAATGTAAGCACCTTCGCCTGATGAAGCGGATGACTTTGAGTGATGGACCACTTCTCCCGTTTTCCCCTCAGGGGCGGAGGATGGCATCAGGTTTTGCTGGTGGGAGTGAGGTGTGGAGCGTGGAGCATACCCACCATGGCAGAACAAGTCTCAACATTTTGTTGAAAATGAGTGTTCCTAGTCTGAAGTTGGCGTTCTCCGGTAGCGCCACTTCCCAAACTGAGATGCCTTTTTTAAAGTGGGAATGTACAAGATCATTGGTTCAATTGATCTTGCCTTGCTAAAGATGGCAAGTCAAGGGGGACAATCAGATTTATCCCATCTTGCAGAATCAAGCAATGCAAGCAGTGAACACAGCTGGACATCGAGGGTGTCAGTGATGGAACCATTATATATCCCCTCTTGGTGCGGGGGAGTGTTGGAGTGTGATCAAGATAAGAAGGCTGAAAGCTGAAGCCAAGAAACTGGAAGGGGAGGTCTTCTTTCGGTCAAGACCACAGTAGAAGGTTCGTAGATGGCCTCGCCAATGGTTGGAGGAGGACTTCTGCTTCCTGCCTCATAAACCTACTGGTCCCAGGAGAGCTGGCAGGCTGGGTCTCAGGGAAGTTTGCCTCGCTGCCGCTGGCTGCCAGCAATGCTGCTGTGGCGATGAACACCAAAGCCCTCGAGGAGCGCGCGGTTTCTTTGACACGTGGGGAATTGGACCGTGCGGCAAACGAGTTCGATTGGTTTTTGTTGCAAGCTTCGTTTGATGGTGAGATGCCTGGCTGCAGACCGAAAGCTTGGAGGGTGCCTGACTGTTGTTTGAATCCTGTTAGGGAATGAACTCTACCAAATCAGCAGGTGAGTCATACCGGTCATACCTGTTTGACAGGTCTTTACGAAGTCATCGCATCCTCCCCGTCGCCATCGTTGTGTCGACGCCACGTTCGCCCCGGCGCATCGATTCATCGCCCCACGCGCCCGCGTTCGCCCGTCCGGAGAGGCTGAGAACGCCTTGCGCAACGGAGCGATCGCCACTCAGGCGTGATGGAGCTGGCCGAGCGGTGGGGCTGGGCTTGGTGGAGCTTGACCGAGCGAAAACACTCTTTTTCAAGGTGTGATGTGTCGTATTTGTGTTAACTCGCGTGTGAGTCAGTTTTCCCCTCTTTGAGTAACTACCATTAGGGATCATTCCATTTTAGAGATCTATAGCAATGGAGAACAATTATCCGTCGGTCCATGTTTTCAGCAAATCCGGTGAAGGCCAACTTCAAGGAGATGCCGGCAGATGGTTCGTAGCGACCGTGTCGCGTCAGCCGCGCTAACCGTTGCTTTTCGACCCAAAAAGAAACGCAGCTCCCGAGCCTTTTGCAGATTCTTTTAGGAATGACCCCATTTTGGTCTAAGGGTTTGGCTGTGGGAGGGGCCCAACCATGTTTTCTCCCACATTTCCGCATTCTCCGTCCCGCTTGGACCAAAAACACCCCCCCCGATGTGTTCACTACGCGAACGGATCCCATCCTCGGTGGTTTCACCGGTGCGCTGTGGGACGGGTGAGGCGAAGATGGGCTTGGAGGCTGCGAAGATGGGCACCGAGATGATCGGAATGGGTGTGAAGGTGGGGCGATGGGCTCCATGACTCGGCAGGTCGGCGGTCCGAAGGTAGGCGGAACCTCGAAATTTCATGGAGATTCTGTAGGTCTCATGGAAGAGATGTGCGGTGAAGAGCGATCTCTTAGGGGATTTGTGCGTGCTTGGACATCACGAAACAGAGAGTACATTCCAAGCAACCTCGAAAGATGTGACACTCATGTCATATGGGAAGCTTTTCGCTGGAGGTCGAGTTTTTTTTTTTTTTTTTCAGGGCAGTCATGATCCATTTGGCAAAGCTTTGTGCTGACAATACTCGGGCAAGCTAGCAATGATTCGATCATCCTATTAGACCACGCTTCCGAGGGGCCGATGCTCCTTTAAATAGGGCAGGGCATCTGCCTATTCGAAGATGGTCCAGACCGCACTTGACCAACTCAGACCGGCAGGGTCAGGTGTTCATGTGATTATTCCTCTCCTTTTTCCTTTGAAGAGTCCGTTTCCGATCGATGACATTGGATTCTTGAGCTCGCTGGTGCAGGCGAACACAGCCTTCACAAACATGGGCGCGACTCGGCTTTGAGCCCCCCCCACCAGATCACAGACTGGATGGTCGGTGGACTCCCAGCGAAAGCGAACACCCCGGTTTCTAAGTGAAAGTCATTTCGTTGAGTCGTGGAGTCTGCGAAGTCTGTCTACGCGCACATATCAGGAGCAAAGAGTGCTCGTGAAGTGGCTGCCCCCATGAGTGGTCCTGTGACAAACATTGCAACACATGCGTAGAATTCAGTTGCTAGATGATGGTTTGTAGATGGTCTCTGACCCAAACCCCAAACCCAGCTTCATCTGGGCTACTCTGGTAAACCATGATTCATAAGCCACAAAAGGAAGCATGCCTGTCATTCAAGGTCTTGAAATTACTGTATATCCTTACCGGCTTACAGGGCAGGAATCAATTTCCACTCGATTTGCCGCTGGCTGTCAAGGTGAAGGCCAACACAGAGCTGCTCAATGCTGAGACCAAGGCCCAGTCATGTAACCCACTTCTTAGCATTTTGGCAAAAGGGCATGCTTAAAGCAGTGTCCCCTTGGATGTCGTCAAGGGCTGACTATGGTCATTGGTGTTTCTGGGTACGATCCCTCCCGCATTTTGGTGTTTGGGTTGACCGGGATGCTGGGGGAAGAGGAGGACTTGGAAGGGCAGCCGGTGAATCCTAGAACTCTCGACCAAGAGTGGTCCGTGACGGTTCAGGAGGAGCGCATTTGTTATGTTTTTTGGTGTATAATACTGTATACTGTAGTTGGTCACTTGATCAGGCTGACCAGTTGCGCCGAAGAGAATAGCATTCAGCAGTTCTTCAAGAAGCTCTGATCATCCTTTGGGCGGGGCCCTCCAGATGAAGTCGAAGAGCATTTGTTGAAGCTTTGGTTGCCAGGTTTAGTAGCGCCCTTCCGCCTCGGATGTGACCCTACCGGGGCTGCTTCTTTTTCTGCTTCGAAAAAAGCCTCTCCTCCACTAAAATGGCTTGATGTCCTTCCCTTGGGAGGCCAACAACTTCTTCAACAACGTGAGAAACGACTTCACCACGGGCTTTACTTCTGGGATTCGCTGATTGACATGTCACGACATCCCCGTGACCAACCCGCAGCGCGAGACACGAGACGTCGCGTGCGTTGTACAGATTCCCTCAGCCCACAGAGCTGTGCTGAGAGGAGGCCCTCTTAATCCATCTTCCCGCAAGTGTCGTCGAAGACGGTTTGATGGGGCCACCGTCGGTGATGGCCAGAAGTCGAAGACTTGTACATCGGCTCCGGGGTAGATTCTAGTTCTGCTACCATGTTCTTTAATGGAGGTATAAACAGGTGTAAACACTTTTTCAACGGGAATTCTTTCAGAAAACATCTACGCCCAAGGCCAGCACCTCCTTGAAGCCGAAGCCGAAAAAGAGCCCAGCCAGCCCACCACCCGCGAAAGGGCGATTCCGGGAGTCCGCCAGCGCGTGGGCCCGCGCGCGCGCGCGGGTTGGAGTGCCCCAAGATATGCTTTGAGTTCTGAAGGTCCGAACTAAGGACGAACGGATGGACCACCCGTGCCGTGCATCCACCGAAGGATGGACCGGACCCACATCGACCGCCGGACCGGGACTTCATCTACTGAGTGGTCCCCATGGGAGAACCTTTGAGAGTCCTTGTTGTACCTCGCAAAAAGGGTCCGTTTCTCTTAAGGGGTCACATCGCGTCAAACGAAGACGTCCAGATACCTGTCTCAACAAGTTGGACATTGCCAAGCAGACCGGGAGAACGTTCTTCCTGCCTCGTGCGGCTTCAAAGAGCAGTTCAGCAAGTCTAAGATAAACACCATGAAACCGCAATGACACATGCTAAATTGCTAGATGAACCAAAGGTAGGCTTCTTCCTCCACCGGAACCGGGGGATGCACGATCCGGCCGTGGCCAGAACGTGCCGAATTGGCACCGAGACATCGTGCGAGTGTGTGAGAACATCCCCATCGTGCTGGTGGGCAACAAGGCGGGTTGGCGCCGCTTCGGTCGTCGGCCGAAACGGAGTGGGCGAAACGGACTCGGGACCCCCAAAGAGAGTTCTGTGCTTTTGTTGTTTTTTTTAACGCGGCGAAGCGAGAAGATTCGGGCGGGTCGCACGCGGAAAGAAGGACGTGGTGAAGATCTGTGGGGGTTCGCGGAACTGCACCACAGAGCGACATTTCTCCACCAGACTGCCAGGTGGACGTGAAGGACCGCCAGGTGAAGGTGCGAGTCTGCTGACCCGGGGATAGGAGAAGCGAGGAGATGTGTGATGCTTGGGGATGGTTTGGGGAAGGGGGGAGGGAATAATGGATAGTTGTGCACCCCTAGACTTCCAAGGCCATTAAAAGGCAATTAAAACATGGTTGACCTGGTTTTGTATCGTAAATCCTTAGTAAAACAATGGTGGTTTGGTAAAGCCATGTAAAGCCTATAAAGAAAATTAAACATATATCATGGTGGTTGGAAGCGTAGGGGTACTGTCTGAAATGAGACCTTTTTTCATGTTTTGGTACAATGAACACATGTCGCCACGGCAAAAATCCCTTTGATGTCTTCATGCACGAGTTCTATTTCCTGTTGACACTAAGACTAAGAAGTGAGAGCGTGAGACCTGTCGAGGTCCGATGGTCCCGTGCCCGCACATCGAGTTTTGTCCTGATGCCTTTGACCGAGATTGATGACAAGAACATATAATACTGCATGAAACTTAGATGCATTAACGTAAATATAAGTAAAATACTGCATAAGTATATATACCCTAGGGATCCAAGTACCTCCTCAAAAGGTACTTGGACCCTCCTGGCACCCACCTCACCCCAGTCCCACCTTCGAAACGAGGGTACTTGGATCCTTAGGGATAAGCAAATACTGCATTGATACAAGCCAGCTTGAGGCGCGATTCGACTCTTGAACCTTCTATCTTGTTTGCTCGCCCGACAGGACGATTGAACAGTCAAAGCCATGAGATAGCGACACACAGCAAGACTTACATGGTGACATGGCGAGCCACACAACACCGCCCTGACTATGTCGTGCATTGTCCTACTTTGCCAGGCAAAGAACATCCAGTTTCACAGAAAGAGGAACTTGCAGTACTACGATCTCAGTGCCAGGAGTGCACTACCAGACTCGAGCCTGCACTTCTCTGCGTACTTGTTTGTGAACTGCTGGATTTTTGGTCTCAGGTGCTTCTGTTTCTAGAGTTAGTTGCTATCTGCGCGTCTCCGTCGGAAAACCAGCCTGGCAGCCGGGATCGATGAAGCCCGGGCGACGCACAGGAACCAGGGATGTGGCTCATGACCGGACAGACTTACTCGTACTGTTTGAGTACTTATATTCTTGATTCTGCATATATGATTATTTAGGAGTGGAACATGATACCCTCTTCTTGACCCGTAACCAAGTATGAATGCATTTTCCAGGAGCAACTACAACTTTGAGAAGCCCTTCTTGTGGCTTGAACCTCAGAAAAAGGCATGGGGTCGCATGTGCTCCAGGTCACTTCAACCGTGGCTCAACGTCGTCTCATGAACGGCAGAGAAGCATAGGGCAGAGAAGCTGCCTTAAAATTTTGAAGCACGAGGCTTCGACCAACATTCACCGGTTCCAACTCTTCGCATGAAACGGTTGGAAAATGGTCCAGATCCTCCGCTGTGGACCGCCCTGTGTCATGTACACTTCTGGCCCCCCCCCAAAAGCCAGTTGGTCCAGCTCGCTTTGAGAAGGTCTATACACTCCGCCCCGCCCAGTGGATTGGGTCCAACACGAACCAAGGCTGGCACGACGTTTGACCAATCAGGGCAACCTGCAGTTCGTGGGTCAATTCGCCAAGGTTCGTGACGTCAGTTCGGTCCGGGTCGCTTGGGGTCGGACGTTCGCGTGGCTGCCATGCGCCGTTGAACGGCTCGGACAACGGCCCTTCAGAACACCCGAAGCCGCGAAGGTGCGGTGAAGTGCATGCGGCGTAAGGCGTTTACTTCCTGTGAAGCCTAGCCTTTCTTAAAGGCACATAGGGACTGCCGGAACCCCAGCACATGGCTCCACCAATGAAGGACACACCTTTCCGAATTTCCCCCCCCATACTTCAAGAAGTGCACTTTTCCCACCCCTAGAAATGCACGGACCAAAATGCCGAACCCGAGTAATCGAACCTTCCAAACCGCCAGGCTCCTGAGATTCAGATTGATCAGTCGTTGATCGCACAGCACGAGAAGGTGCGCAGCGGTCTGGGTGTGTATCTTGGCAGCGGCATACGGATGTATCTCGGAGAAGATGGATGTGTATAGACATGAGAAGAGCTCACCAAAAGCCCTGTGAACAGGAAACTAGACTGACACCGGTTGGAGGGGCTCCCTATTCTAACAGTCTCAATATGGTTATTATATTTTTTACATTTTTTGCGGTTGGGATTTGGTCTGTCTTCAGAGGATTCATGGGGTGACAGTGTCATAGACTGGAGGAGGCTCCCCGCACTTTTGTTTCTTACGTTGCCTTACTTAGCTTTGATAGAATTTAGAGACCTGCAAGCCAGCTTGTGAGGTCCAGTCAGATCGAATGCAGGAAAAACCTGAAGGGAAACACATCACGTTTGCTTGCTCTTTTCAACTTGAAGCGAGGATGTTCAGTGCTTCTTTCTGTCATTTGACCAGCCATGTTGCTGGAGATCTTCCCTGACAGGAGCTACAGGAAGCTCAAAACGTGGCCATCAACGATGATGATGAGGCGACGAACGCGACGAAAGCGAAGGCTGCGGTGGCCACATCGCACCACCCGGGGGCCCAACACTTGGGGCATCGCAGGGTGCTGCGAAGGATGAGGCATCGCGCTACGACCGGTGGAGTTCTTGGAAAGGTCGGATGGAGTTCTTAGAGTCTGAGGCCGATTCAGTGGGGGCAATCTTTCCATCTGAAAGAGGATGCTCCTTGAAAAGAAGCCATTCGTTTATGACTGACGGTGCGAAAGCCTAGATCCTCATTCAACTAACTGACCACTCGACTGACTTGGCCATCCGCACTGCCGCGTCCAGGACCTGTAAGTGCGGAGGGCTTGACGGGCAGCCGGTCATGGCCTTCATTTTGCCAAAGCCACGGTCCCAGCGACCGGTCCGGTGTGGGCGTTCCGGTTCCGGTTCGGTGGATGTCCGAAGGAGAAGCTCTACATGTTCCAGTTTGGAGTGAACGGGTTGTAGTGAACGAGCACTGCGGAAGAAATGAAGAATTGGGGTTCAAGCGAAGACGGACGCACAACCTTGGATTGTGGTCAATCATTTCCTTTTCAACTTATCATTCTGGACTCTTTCTGGATCGGAGGACACCTTCGATTATAGACATATCATACGGTTTACTTTTTCATGGCATTCTACTCTTGTGGGCAGGGTTGTTATATATATATATAAAATATGTCCCTGATTCACTTTGCTGTTTCTGGAGGGATGTAGGCATCAACTCAGCGAAAAAGAGGACAACTGTGGAGCAATTTGCCATGTGGGCCCAACTTTTCTTGGGAAACCAGAGAAGGGGTCCTCCTCCCCCAAAAAAGTCCAAGAAATCACCAGCCATGTTTCCATGTTTCATCCATGTTTCATCCAGCAATGACAGCCCCTTCGGCCCCTCCGACTGCAACAGTGACCAAGCAAGCCCATTCCTGAGGTGATGAAACATCTGGCGATTCATCCCATGCCGCAACTGTGCAGGACAGGCGCGGTGAGGGTAGCACAGCTGCGGGGTGAAAAAGAGACCGCTGCCAGTCCGGCACTGCAGGTGTGTTGTTGTTTCCATGGGCGATATCCTGGATTGTGAGGAAGTCATCCGACGTAGATTGAGGATGAAGCATGGGGAGGGGTCAAAACCTGGAGCTGTGGTCCACCATGTAGCAAATGACCTTCCAGGCAGGTCAGCCAAGGTCGGTCTGGTCTTGATCCACAGGCACATGGGCAACGTATGCACATGTTCTGGTTCTTGTCGCCGTCCAATATTCTACGCACTGATGAAGTCTGAAGCACAGATGTTATGCAGTGCCTACCATCAACCGCATCATGCCAGACGTGGAACTTGCGGCCTGCAATATCCCAGACTTTGTTATCCACATGTGTGGCTCAACTGTTTGACTTGCTGGACAGGGTGTGTTCATTTTTCCATGGTACCCGTGTGCCATGTTCGTCACTTCTTCGTCACTGAAGCTTTTTTCTGCGCAACTAGAGTAGCTTTGCAGTCGTCGCCTGTGGATATCTCGCCTTGAACTTCTCCATTTCGTGGTCCCCAAATAGATGACCGTGGCGCGGCGTTTCACCAATACATTCTTAGTCCATGGGGATCTATATACTCACTTCTATCTAAATCGGGGACTTATTACTTATAAATGATCACCTCCAAGGGACCTGTGGTTTTTCACTGGCCCTCTGCAGCTCGGAGTTGAGACCCTGAGCCGAGTGTGGGCGACTCCGACTCTGTCGGACGGAGTCACAGTTGGTCGGACGGGTGGGGCAGAGCCGGATGGAGAAGAACGCGGGAGCGGTCGGAGCGGCCTTGGTGTTTTGTGCTCGATTCCATAGCATGTTGTAACATGAAAGAACCCCTCCTCTTCTGATTTCCAGAAGAAGAACATCCTTGTTCCATCTTGTTCCTTGACGTTGGTCATGCCCATCATCAGTCTCTAATGGCGTGGGGACAGCGCGATGATGGGGCGGCTGGCATTCTCGGCTTGCTTTGTGGCCGTGGTTTGTCGAGGCGAGGTTCCGGGCACTGGATTGGTTTCCGTACAGGCACTTGCACTGCTTTTCCCGCGGGTTTGCAGGGTGAGTTGGAAGATGTTGGAAGATGTTGTTCTCCAAGGCTTGATTGGGTGGGGGAAACGGGTCATGTACACACAAAAACCAGATGTCTTTGGATTGGGAGGCACAGACTGGAAGCTCGTTTGAGCAGCATCCACTGTGCAGACCCCGATGCATGTGTGTTACATCCAAATCGTGCTTCCTCTCAGGCCAACTGATGTTGCACGCTCCACCCGCGCTGCTGGAGCACTTCACAGAAAGCGCCAAGGTGGGTGCAGAAACCAAAGAGACCCGGTCACCGACGGCGTTCGGGACGACCCGTGGATCTCTACCTGATCAGCCTGTGTGCAACCTCTTGTTCGCTTGCAACGATCTCATACGAGCTCGACAATCCCTTGTTATTCCACGAAAAGGACGAGATCCGGAACCCCCCAAAAACATTTGTTCCGCCCAAACTTTGTTCCTTTGGGCCTGGGCCTTCAGCTGCAGGGAAATGGCTTTCCGCTCCAGGGCCTGGGCCTTGAGCTCCAGGGCCTTTTTTACTTTTTCTTTTTCCAGATCTTGAAACCAACATCTGGAGGCCCCACCTGTGACTGCTTCACGCATGGATCCGCCGGGCCGGGACCTCGCAGGTCTCCCGGGAGGAGCGGCAGGTGAGCTTCTACGGCACGTCGGCGGTGCTGGGCTGGCCGCGCTGGGGTGACGGATGTCAGGGCAGGTTGACCTTCTTGCAGGAGAGGGCAGGTTGACCTTGTGGAGAGGCGGCGAAGGGGGGGGGAAAGTCGTATTCTGAAGGAGCGGGTGATGGGTTTTTTGACGCCAGGATTTGGAGGGATGCGATGGAGTGCTTTGAAAGTTGATTGCCAGTCAGGGATCTTTTTTCAGGTGGATTGACTGGGTGTTTGCGGCACTGAAGGATCCAAATATACATATTTGCCATCCGCTTGTCACTAAGTAGCGATGGTGTTACTAGTAGCTTCTAGCTCCCAAAGGGTCTTCCCGTTCGCCAACGACCCGCGTAGAGCGTGGGGGAGAGTGTCGAGTCTGACAGGCTCGAGTCGACGCGTGGTTGCATTCTTGAGGTCAATCCTCCGAGGAAGACATCGCATGGAAGTGGACCAGTCGTAAAGGATGTTTTTTCTGTTTTTTGACCGGGCCAGGCCATCCACTTCCATGTGATGTGTTCGTCAGAGCGTACTTGACTGGAACTTGGAGAGATGCAAATACTGGACTATTGCAGGGTCACTCACTGATCCAATGATCTCGCCAGTCTTCCTTTCTTGGGATGGGGACAGAAATTCTGTGTCCACATGGGCAAGTGTAGCAAGAAATGAAGATCGTCTTTGTGGCTTGCTCTGGCTCTTTACAGTAAATGAGCTCAAGTTGCTCTTTGGCTCCAGACATCTCTAGATTCGGCCACCACTCCTTTGCTCAGCTGCAATGCTGGCCTTCTCCCACGTTCATCCGGAGAGCGGCTCTGATCAAGAGCTGGTGCAGAATCGCGGCTGGCCGCATGTGAAGAAGACCTTCGGCATGGTTGGAGCTCTCTTGGTGGTCTTTGGGCTGGCTTCGATGCGCTTCTCCAACCAGTGCATCAATTTGAACAGCTTGCAGGGGAAAACCGAGCTGAATGTGGATGATGCAATCCTTAAGACCACAAAGAGATTGCTCAAAGTCAAGGATCGCAGTCTGGCAGAGAGCACTGTCTTGAAGGCCATGAAGCAAGCCGGGCACAATGCACAAAAGGACTGGGAGAAACATCACGTTCGCAAACTTGACACCCTTGCAGTTCTCAAAGGACGCCAAGCAATCAAGGACTTCCGCCGTGGACAGCATATCAAGGAAGCCGTGAATGTAGAATGTGCTTTCAACGTTCTGGAGGCTTTTCTTTCGGTCGTCGGCATGGGGGATGACATCAATGGCATCATCCGAACCTGCCCTCCACCTCGTGACGGCGAGTCCGAATTGGCTTGTCAAGTGGATTCATCCATGTTGGTGGCTTGGGTGGGAAATGCTGCTGCAAAAATCTCTTTGGCAGCTTCCAACTGCGCTTTGACCCTCAATGTGAACTCTGTGTGTGCAGCAGGGGTCAGCGGCTTGGTTTCTGCCCTTGGAGAGATTGCTGCTGGTGCTTGTTTGACTGGTGCTGCGTGCGCACCTACCCCTCCTTCGTTGAGTACAAGCCAAATCAGCGTCTTGGGCGACCATACTGCCCAAACCGGCCGCAGGCTTTTGATCGGCCAAGGACCTGTTGGCAATGGTGTGCAGTGTGGCGTAGATGTTGGCATGGTGGCTGCCAACATTGCAAACTTGGGACTTGCCATCAACAAAGCGGTGAATGTAGAACGCTGCGGCAAGTTTGCGACTGAAAAGTCTCCATTGAATGTCTTGAAGGGAATTCCTGATGCGCTTTGTGTGGTGGATATTGCAGGAGCAGTGGCATACATTGGTGAGGTTGTGACATTCATCAATCTGGTTGTGGTTCAGTGCCAAGACTTCCTGGATGCGAGTGCTCTTTGTGGGGTTTCCATTGCTGCTATTACCACAGGTGCTGCTGCCATCGCTGCATATGGAGGAGCAGTGCATGCCGCTTGCCGCTACAACCATTTGTTGAAGACTCCGAACCTTGGCCAGGATATTCTGAACTCAGCTTTGAATTTGAATTGTTCTTGGGTGTTTTGCTCCAGCCTCCAACAGGAAGGTTGCTATCACTTTACTTTTACTTCACTGAGTTCTTGATTCCTTTTCTGATGAGTAATTTTGTTTACAACTTGTTTCCACCGAAGTTCGGACAAATGCATGGTAGACATGAATAAAGTGATCAAAATACATGGGACAGTCCCCACATCAATGCTGTCAGATTTATTGGATATTCAAGGGGCCCAAATTAAGCTAGTGCTGCAGACGCGCCATAGCCATTGATTATCCCACTGCAGACTAACATGGATCCTGAGAATTGACTTGTTGTTCAGACCATTTTATTCTTTTTGGATGCAACGACGCAGCAAACGTTTCTAGAAGATGCTTCGTCGTGTTGGCTGCAGGGCTTCCGACCTCTCATGCTGTGGCTGACATTCCGACTTTCACTTTCATGAACTTGTCTGGACATATGGGGAAAGTTTTTCAGACACAGCTGACTTTGCAACTCTTTTGCCGTAATGTGAGATTCATAATAATAAAGGGGGGGTCAACCTCTCCATTTTCTTTTTGTATAACGGTTTTGTTTGGGAACCGTAATAATGGCAACTTCTGGAGGTCATTTCATTTGCTTTGATCTTGCTTTCGTTTGCTTTGATTTTGCTTTCATTTGCTTTCATTCTGCTTTCATCTGCTTTCATTTGCTTCAATCCTGCTTTCATTTGCTTTCATTATCCTTTTCATTAGCTTTCATTCTGCTTTCATTTTGCTTTAATTCTGCTTTCATTTTACTTCTGTTTGCTTTCATTCTTCTTTCATTTGTTTTTGTTCTGTTGTCATTTTGCTTTCATTCTGCTTTCATTTGCGTTCAGTTTGCTTTCATTGTGATTTCAATTGCTTTCATTCCGCTTTCATTTGCTTTCGTTTTGCTTTCATTTGCAAGAGAATGTTTAAAAGAGGAATGCAAAGGAACACATTTCTAAGCAAGCCAGGAGCCACACTGGTAGGGATCCTGGGCGCTTGTAAGGGGTACCCTTTGCTGTTGAAGTGAAGCTTTTCAAACACCTATGGTTTTGCAAGTTGGAATACTTAAGGGGCGGGGGACGTGTGATGTGGTTTTGGGAGGGGTCATGTTAAGGGTCGCAGGAGGAGCAAGCCGGTGGATGCCATGAGGTTCAAACTCATTTTCTCATCTCCTGTTGTTTGATGTGACTGCAAGGCTTGCCAGGATTTGCGAATCACTATGTAGACTTGACCAATGCATGCCATTTCCAGATCTGAAGGAGCTCGACGCCTCTGAAGGCCCACCAAAACAGAGGAGAGGAGGAGGCAGGACAGGAGACAGCAGGAGGACAGGAGACAGGAGCAGGACAGGAGGACAGCTTTGAATGAACAGGAAGTCCATGCTTTCACCGTACTCGGTCGCGCGCGCGCGCGCGCCACCCGCATGTCGGAAGCTGGGGTGGCGCACCATGAGGCGGAATCGCTACATTCTGCGCGCCAAGGGGGAATTGAACCACCACAGAGTTCCAAAACCCTGGGCGAAATGTCGTCACCATCTGGCCTTTTGTTTGATTGCCAAGCCCCAGGGCTATACATATACCAAACTAATCTTCAGGAACATGCCGGCCCCATTCCGCTCACGCTCACGTTCTTGGTCCTAGAACGGGGTCGGCGGATTTTGGACTCTTTTTTTGTTTTGCTTTCATTTGCCTACAGCTTGGTTTCACTTGCTTTCATGTTGAGTTGATTTGCTTTCATTTGTGAGTTAGAGTGCAAAAAGAATCTGCAGTCACTATTGTTGTCTGGAGCCTTTTCTTGGCATGATTGAAAACGCAGCTGGGTTTTATAAATCTGGATCTTGAGGTCTTATTAGGAATTTTGGATCAAAGCTACTACATCTATTTCCATCTGAATTTGCTGGAAACCTTTGAACTTTATGAATACGAATGACCTGTGTATGACGAATTAAGCATGAATCCAAATTTTTGATTAAGTGGAGGGGGCATCGTGGCGAAGGTTCTCAAGAAGAAGCCTAAGTCTAAGAGCCCGTCGTGCAAGAAGGACCGCAAGGATGAAAGACATGGTGATAAGAAGGCTAGAAAAGCAAGGAAAAGGAGAAAAGGAAACGCGAGAAGAGGAGCACGAAGAAGAAGAAGAAGAAGAAGGAGAAGGAGAAGGAGAAGGAGAAGGAGAAGGAAAAGGAGAAGGAGAAGAGGAAGAGGAAGAGGAAGAGGAAGAGGAAGAGGGGGGAGGAAGAGGGGGGAGGAAGAGGAAGAGGAAGAGGAAGAGGAGAGCGGATTCTTTCTTGCTGAAGCCTGCCGATTCTTTCAGCTCTCCAGGTGCAGGTTCTGGCCCTATAGCATCAGGACCAGGGGGGTGCAACAACTCTTTCCCAACAAAGTTTTAGCTACGACGCAGCATTAAATCAGGGACGCTGGGCATCAGTCCGTGCGGCCACCGATTTCCCCTTAAGCTCCGCCAGAAAAGCCAACTCCTCAAAGTTCCAGGGTCGACCTGCATCATCCCGACGGGTTCACCCCTTTGCTGGGGACCCGGCGGTTCCAGCCCGAACCGGAGCGCAGTCAGGCCCCAAAACGGAACTGTTTCGAGAAAATAGGACGGTTCTGGAGTTAAGACCCCTCAGAGTAGGTCAGGCCACAATAGCCTTATTTTGACAAAACAGGTTGGTTCTGGAATTTAGAGGCCCTGGGCTAGGTTAGGCTACAGAGCGGCAATCTGTTCGCAAAATAGGTTGGCCGCTGTCCGGCCATGAAAGGTGTGGGACGCTGAACCCCAACCCGACCTCATTCAATATTTCCGTATTTGGGCGACCTAGCCCTCATTTCAGAGTTCAAATGACAACTTACGACCTAACAGCTTACAAACCATTGTAATTTCACTATATAGAAACACATATTATATGTAACACGTTGAATTTAATATCGCAACCCATGGCATTGGTAGTTTCTGTTGATGCAAGTTTTTTTGACAATACTGTTGATCTTCTATGCGCAAAACCATATTCTTGATTTGCCAGGAAGGCTGTGGCCAAGATCAACGAACTTCCTTTGCATAGACGCTTGGAAGAGGAGCAGCAAGCACCTGAAGAGAAACCTTCCTTGAAGGAGCCCAGTGAAAGCGAGGTGTTAAAATAGGAGCACTGAGAGGATGGCTGCGAAAGCCAGCCGATAGGCTAGGCCCACGGGGTTCGTCTATGGAGCTTTGAGACTGCAGGTGACCAAAACTAGTAACAAGGAGCTACTAGGCGGAGGCCATCGCTATCAGGTTGGAGGCCATCGCTACTAGACAAGAAGCTACTAGGTGGAGGCCATCGCTATTAGGTTGGAGGCCATCGCTACTAGACAAGAAGCTACGAGGCGGCGGTCATCGCCATTATGTTTCCAAAAGACACAAGCGGTACTGAATTACCGTTGGTGTGTTGACTCAATGACGACCAAGGGGGTGTGTCTGGGAGTCTGACTCAGGTGGTTTAAAGGGGCTTCCAAAAGCCGGTACCGAGATTTTGGTGTTTTATCTCAAGAACCACCAAGGGGGGGGCTGACCAAAAGGGGTTTCCAAAAGACACAGCGGTACTGAGATTTGCCGTGAAACAGACATCGTCTCGCCACCGCGCATCCGGCTCACGTGTAAACATTCACAGGTTTTGTCACCCCCTTCTCGGGTTGTCGTCCGGGATTCGAGAGCTAAGATGTTCCTGACACTGGGCCAAGGCATCGCAAGTTTGGTTGACCACCTTAGATGAATTACATTAGGCCCAAACACTCCGTTGTCGTTGTCGTTGTTGTCGTCTTTGTCGTTGTCGTTGTTGTCGTTGTCGTCGTTGTTGTCGTTGTCGTTGTGGTTGTTGTTATTGTTGTTGTTGTTGTGGTTGTTGTTGTCGTTGTCGTTGTCGTCGTTGTGGTTGTTGTCGTCGTTGTGGTTGTTGTTGTTGTTGTCGTCGTTGTCGTTGTTGTGGTTGTGGTTGTTGTGGTTGTTGTGGTTGTTGTGGTTGTTGTGGTTGGTTGTGGTTGTGGTTGTGGTTGTGGTTGTGGTTGTGGTTGTGGTTGTGGTTGTGGTTGTGGTTGTGGTTGTGG